ATACCACTTTCATACTCAATTTAATTACTGTAATTATTATGTATTCATATATTATAATTATAAATCGGGGTAAAATTAAGGGAATAAGTGTTATTGTTGTTTTTGAAATACTCTACCAATTTCATTTTTTTCTATTTAATGATATCTATTTCAAACTTGCAAGTTGAGTTAAAAGTTATGGTAATAAATTCATATTTTTTTTTTTTAAACTTTCACTTTAAAGGACAAAAAGAAGTTGGTTCAAAATGATTACTTTTAATATATTAAAAATCGATAATAATTTGAAAATAATTAATTATAAAAATTATATAATAGATAATTAAACGAATTACTAATCTGGATATAATTAAGGAAATAGGAGTTGATGTTGGGTTGGGTTGGTTACATTTTTAACTTTATAATGCTACAACTCATTGAAAAGTGTATGAATCAACACAATTTTTTTATGAGAAATAATATTTTTTAATAATCCCTTTTTCATTCGACATTCTTTATCTTAATCAGGGTATTAATAAGGAACTAGCAGATCATGCAGCTTTTGTAATTATCCACCAATTTCTTAGAATTAAACACTATCTACAGATTTGCATCGAAGCGTTTCTTATGATAGTGATTTTAATCACTGTCAGATTAAATCTATACTGGACCCAACTATGCAACGTCCACACTATGCCGCGACTCCACTGTGCTGGGTTTTTTTATTATCAACACAATTAAAAAATGTGTTAGATTGAACAAATAAATTTAGTACCGGTGTAAAATTTTGAGGGACCTAGGACGATAAATAATTAGTGTCCCTCTGATATGAGAGGAAGGGGTTTAAGTGAGATATATTAAACATTATTTCATGGTGAATACTATTTTTTTTTTCGAAAGAGGTATTAAATTTTTTTCTTTATAGTGAAGTTTTCTTTACATAGTATTTAAAAAGTGCAGAAACAGAACAATTATTACAAACAATGAGAACATTAGAAATTATATTCTTACTAAACACTGTATATCACCTCAAAAATAATATCCTAAATACGCCACTGTTACGCGTGAGTACCAGGGCACGTGTTCAATCATCCTGGACCTTGCGTCGGCGGCATTTATTAAATTATTGACAATTTATTCAATAGTATGCTAAAAAAATATAATAAAAGAAAAAGAATAGTTTTTCCAATATTTATAATTCAATTTTTCTTGCTATTAATAAAGCATCAATTTGTAATATTTTAATATTAAAAAATCCAATAAAATGCTTTTCAATTATATTATGTTTGGTAGAAATAATAACCTGCCGATTTTTTTTGTAATTATTCTATAATACTATTACAATTATTATAAATAGAATATTAATAATTATTGTGTACACCAAGGACGTATTTAAGGGGGACATAGAAGATTGTCTCCCTTGAATCAATATTTTTTGGGCGACTTCTAGAAATATGGACCTAATAATCTTTTTTTTTGATCATCCCTTTGATTTTTATGAAAAAAATTCTATAACATGTCTACCAAAGTAAAAAAAAAATTAAATACCCTCCTAAAATAATTTCTGAATACGTCCAAGGGGAAAACGTCAGTAACCCAACACATTATATTTTTTATCTTTTCAAATTTTACTGATTCTAATAATTAAATTTTTAATGTACAAATGTATACTTGTTACACTGATTCGGATGTAATATTTATTCTACAAAACACTTATCGTGGCCAACGTAACCAGGTACTACTATCGGAATCAGTGGCAAACTTACGAGAATGGCCCAAAGAGGCTTATGCGTCGAAGACGCTTGTAGGCTCGTAGGGGCCCAGCTAGACGAAACTTAGTGTATTTGGTAATTATCATCAAATAGATGGAATTAAATACTTGTTAAAAACAGTTTCTATAATATAAAAAGATATCTGACCGACTACTCGTCGGTATTTAATATGTATATATACATATATTTAATGGTATTTAAAAGGAATGTGAAATATTAGGAACTATTCTTTCCGGGATTGATATAATGTAGGAATGATAAAAATACCGGAAAATACTTATAAGTACTAAATATACATGGGTAAATTGATTAGTAACCAGAATTCCAAATATTTTGACAAAAAAACCACATACATTTGAAATGTGTTTAAGTACAATTTTCTAGGGGTTATTTATGTCGATAATGAATATCAGCGTATCCAGGAAGGCTAAAAGGGTCCAGTCAACCATTAAAAATTTTTGGGTATACCACTGATGATAATAATGGACACCCTTTTCCATAGACAGATGTAGTAAGTGGTAGAGTGCTACAGAACCCCCTTGGAACGTAAAAAAATAAATACATTTGATCAATTGTTATAAAATTATATTCTTTTATATACATATGTAATTTTAGTAAGTTATATATACATAGTGATTCTTTTAACGTTAGTCACTTGATATCTCAAAGTAATAATAATTATTATGTTAGCAACAATATTTTTTAGTGTCATATATTTCTTGATTTATAAATCATGAGTATTTTTAATTTTTAATTCATTCCTTATATATAAGGGTCTCAACTGTATTTTTGTAAACGGCAACATACATATTTAACTTATTTGATAAATAATGATCTAATTTAATCATATTCAATATTTTGAGCATATCGAAAGCAACGAAGATTTTTCCGTTGAAATAAATTCTTCTTTATTATTTTCTCAGTTAATACTATCCTGAGAAAAAACAGTACAGTTAATTCTCATTCTCTGGAATACTGTTCCTGATAAATTTAATTTTTACTTGTTATTATTCTATAACGTCCAGTTTCTTTTAAGTATTGTACCGATCATTATATTATATTGTAAGATACATTATCTTGTTTTGTATGATTATAAGCGCTCATTGCGGAATATATTTTAAAACAATATTTCTTAGTAAAGAGTGGCATTGATAACAATCGAAGACGTTTTATCTACATCTATGTAACACATCATGATTCTTTATCCAACCGCAGAATATTCTTCGATTTGATTGTTGTGTTAATATAACCTTTTACTTAATTAAATTTATTCTGTGATACAACTAAATTCTTATCGAAGAAAGTTTAGAAATACAACTCATTATTTACAAATCAGATTATTTTTTTAATAAAAAAAATGTTATATTTGTCATGGCTATAGAATTCTTTTCTGTTAAAAAATTATTATTATTCGTTATTTTAGTTGGAGGGTAAATAATCTTCATTTTTTTAAATATTTTTTTTAATATTTTTATAAAAATACGCATATTATGTTATGTTTTCAAGTTTATTTATCTAAATTAAAACTTTTCTTTTCAGTTTATACTTTTACTTATATTTATAAAATCAGTTATTTCTATAAAATAGTTAAGAAAAAATATTGGTTATCTAATAATTTTATTTGATGAAGTTGATAATTTATGAATACATATTTAATTATATTTAGATTTTTTTGTCCTAAATGCTTGTATATATATATATATATATAGGTGTCTCATAAGGTTCTGAAAAATCCTTATACTTTTTATGACAATTGGTTAGAACATTGTGTAACATTCTATATATGTACAAATACTTTGGGTTTTATTATAATGTATTACAATATTTTCTTTGCAGATTTACTTTAGTTATATTTATTAAACTGATTTCATCATCTGGGTTATTTGAAATTGGCACATTACCTTCAACAGAAACAGACCTAACAGTGAAAAATCCTACAAATTCATCAAATAAATGTTGGCTGAACGAAGATAGTGTTATTATAAAAAAATGTCAATTTTGCTCTAGTAGACCAGAATGTATCAATGCAAGTTTTATTGAAACAGTAGAATGTAAATATACAGGAATTGTTTACAGGAGGTAAGTAAATAAATTAACGATATTATTTTTGAAATATTATTCTACATGTTTATTTGTAGCAACTCTTTTAAATAGAAAGTTGAAAATATTAGAATAGTTTCGATCCTAAAATATCTACATACTAAAATATTTAAATATAAATTGTTAATTCATCATAAGTTATGTATCAGATTAATCACTTTAGGAAAGCGAATATTTTAATAGCTGTGAGTTAATAGCTGGCGGTAAATTTTCAACTTTTTATATAGAATGTTCTGAAAAATAATATTTTTTAAATATTTAATATATTTTAAAGTTTAACTATAATATGTATAGTAAATAATTATGAGTGTTTGAAGAAGACTAGACCAGTACTTCCTTTAAATCCACAACTTTTATTGACTGAAAAGGTACAATAATAAATTAATTATGTGCCTTTTTGTTTTAAAAAGTTATATTAAATGATTAGTTTTACATACAAACTTGTGGATTCTGAATTATTTATTTTCTCTTATATTTGAAGAAATGTTGTAGATCTGCTAAATTTAATTTTTTTTATTAATGAATATTAAAAAATGTTTACATAAAAATTAGTATAAATCAATTAAATCCTTATTTACTCTTCATCAACATTCATTATATTTTTGAAAATCAAAACTAATTATAATCTGCTGTTGTAATAAAAAATTCAATTTATTTACAAAAATATAATATATTTTTGTCTTAATTTACTAATTAATGTATAGGAATGAGTATAGTAATATATTAAAACTTAAAATATAACAAAAACAAAATTTTAGCATCTTCATGTAAGCATGCTTTAATTTATTTCATTATATTGCTAAAAATATTTGAATTTATCATTGTTATATCGATACTCTAGGATTTAATAAATGTATCAACCAATTTCTTACTTTTTAAGAGGTAAAATAAAATTGTCCTTTTTTATTTAAGCTAATGAAAAAATACATTTCTTCTTTAAAAAAAATATGATTTTCAATAAAATTACTGATGCATAATGTTCACATTAAAAAATATATCATATATTGAATAAAATAGACTAATAATTAAAAACTCTCAATATTGGTTTATATGTCCCTTTTAATTATAGACCCTCAATATAATAATTGTAAAAGTTCTTAATTTATAATTTCAGTTGTGTAATATCAGAAGCAGATTTTTGGATTTTTCTAAGCTATCAATTTTTATTTGCTGTTATTGGTCTGAGTATTTTACGCCACAAAAAAAATCAATTCCATAAAAAATTAATGATAAAAATTAAAAAACAATTGGATTCTGTTGTATAATGTATGTAATAATTAAAAAAGTTATTTTTAAATTCCTAATGTTACTCTTTTTTTAATAAAATATAACTATATAATATAATTAAAAAGAAATATTAGAATTTTCAAACAAATATATAATAATTTTGATTTTATTTTGACATTTTTTTAGAACTTACAATGTCATCTTCTTTATTTGTAAACATAATAGACTTGGATTCAGATGAAAAGTATGTTACTTGTTCTTTAAGAACTGCTATTGTTCTTTTTTTGTGCCAATATGTGAATTCTCCAGTTATTCTTGTTAGGATTAAAAGTACAGTAGAAGAATTCCCCATAATTAAATTTCTTCTAAATAACTTATCTTATACAACAATATTTGAAGATAATTTACCTAAACCAGCAGCAGATTGCCTTCTTCCAGTTTATCAAAGTAATAATGATCCATATTGTACTGCAGGATTTTGTTCTTCCTTGCGAATGGTTTGTTGGATTACATAATTATTTTATCTATTTATTTATCTATCTATTTGTATTTTGTAGCTGATAAAAAGTTTGGGCGAAAAATTCCAATGGCTACTAGGTTTTAGACAGAGTTGTTTATCAGCTTGTGCAGAAGTTTCATCTTGGACAAAATTCTGTGAAGTTGAAATTCACGCATCAATAACATCACTTTTTCAAAAAAATCATATTGATTCCAATTCTCCTTATATATTACCCATACAGTTAGCACGATTTGAACGCCATTTATCACAACCGTTACAAGTACATAATATTAATAAAAGATTAAACAAGAATTCTCAACATTTTGCTGTAAGATTTGCAGATGAAGAAAATCCAACTCTTTCTGACATTCTTATTTTGCCCAACATTCATATAGTATATAAAATTTTGGGTGAATCAGTGTTTTACAAATTTTTACCATTAACATGGAAATGGTATAAACTTATTTTAGAACGTCTTCATATTACTGAAGCTTTAAATAATATTATAGTAGAGTTTTATATCCAATTACCTACCGAATATTTATTGCCAGAAGTTCCTCCTCATTCTTTATATAAATGTGACTTACGTAGATACAATCCACATTCAAAGTTATATGTTAAACAAAATGTCCAAAATATACTTCAATTGTATGATTCGTTAAATATTGACATTAAAAATAATTCTTATAATTTAAAAAAAATAAATTGGTCAGAATTACCTAATGAAGCATGTCCAATTGGTGGTGATATACCCGAAAAACGTTTGATTAGAAAAACTCAACAACTAGAAAATTTAATCCAAGCTGTATTTCAGGTAATTAAAGATTTCAAGTAATTCTTAAGTTTAAATTAGACTGAATATTATAAGAGGAATGCTTAATTTATTCTCTCACTAAGTTTAATATAGACTTCAAAGTAACAAAAAAAATAAAAGATCAAAATTTGATCCCTTGATTTGTTGGGGATATAAGGAACATTCATTAGAGCAATAGTCCCAATAAATTTAATTTATTTTCTGTAATAAAGTCCTCTTTAAAAAATAACTCATTTTTACAAAAATGACATAATGCGTCTCCTAAACTTTTACAAAATACTTATCCTTTTGACAAAAAATTTCAAAGTTGTTATTCTTTCATTTGGTCAAATAAATTCTACAGGCTTGAGAAATCGTATACAAAATTTAACAACTAGGAAGCTTTCTATCACAGAGATGAAAATGTTTGAAAGACTCATTTTTATGAAATGTATAAAAAATATTAACCACATTTGAAAAATTTGCATCAAGTTAAGCACTACCAAAATTGGGTTTTAGCCTGCAGAAAACAATATCTTATGAATGAGTTCTTCATATATTGACCAATGTGAACTTTATTTTCTGTAAGAATTTGAGTAAACGATAGAGCGTATGACTCCATATTGATTGAATGTGGAGCTAGTGGTTCAACATTCTTATCGGTAATTAACACTATATTATTATTTCATCCAATAGTTTTATTAAACATCTCATTTCACATGATCATATAACTTTGAAGTTAAAAATTATGCTATGGTTTATAGAAGTCTTGTAAATTTACTTTTTAATTTCCTCTCGTATTAGTAGTTTAAAAACTGTTAGATGTCTTTTAAATTTATCTTTTCAATGCTCATAGTTTTATGTAAAAATATATATATAAGGATTTAGGAAAGCATTTTATTATTTCTATTCAAATTAGAACTATTAAAAAAATATATATATATATATATAAATTAGAGGGCTATTACTCCTATTCTCCATATATCCTCGTCAGGTATTTATTTAATTTATAAAATATTTCTCATTAAGGTGTTCCTTATTTTGTTCATTTTCTAAAATACTTACTCCTAAGACTTTTTCTTTATCTTTGGTGTACAATAAAAGTTATTTTCAAAATTTAGGTGCCCTATCTTGAATTTTTACTATGTTGATAAGCGATTGAAGTTTCCCATTTAAAGATTATGGAATTTTTTTTTCAAAAAATTGTCTTTTGAGAAAATAGCATAAATATAAAATATATGTCGATTGACAGGAAATTTCATAGGTTTTCTATTAAGTACTAAAAAATATGCTCAAGCATCGTTTGTGCACATACGAGCTGTAAATTTGGTTATTTTGACACAAATTTAGTTTATTTACATTATGGTAATCATTTTAACTGCATAAATATTTTTTTATATGAGTTATTAATTAAATTAATCAATACACTAAATATATATATGACCTTAGTCATATATATTTTTAGTATAATTCATATTTTATTAAAAGTATACCAAAGATATTTTTATAATTATATATATTCACATAAGGGTGTGACATTATACGTGTGTTATTTAGGCTATAGTATTGTATGTTTCTTTAAATCCAATAATACTATAAAATAAATACATAGTATTATACATATTTCTTTATTCTTATTTTACAACAGTATTATATGTAATATGAATAATATTTTGTTTTAATTTAAATTAATTATCATCCATGAAGGATGATTTATTTGACAGCAGATATTATTTTTTGTATTTAGCTATCATTAAAAAATTAATTGCTCCTGTTCTTTATCATTTGTGTTAGTGTTATAATATTTTCATATGAGGTTTATAGATCTATTAGATGAATCATTTACAACGCTCAGTTTTTTTATAATATTTAAACAATTTTTAAATCTTTCATCCTCACTCCAAAGTGATATCAATGTTGAATTGTTTAAAAAATTAAGTGATAAAATAATTAATTTCTGTATTTGACCAATTTGAAACATCTTTTAAGTGATATAAAATTTTTAGTCCCATTTCCCTCAATATCACTGATCAATTTTAGTTATGTTACCGTTTTTTCTTTAACATTATGGGATGTTTTATTAAAAAATGGCATTGCAGCTATTGCTGGTGACAAATATTATATATGCTTTTTGAGTTAATTAAGTGTCACTTCATATATTGAAAGATTAATTGATTTAAAGTAATGATATTGAACAGTTATAAAAAAATTAGAACTTGAAAATTCTAATGGATTATCTATAGCAAATGTTATATTTGAAGTAGTTAATTATTGGGATCTTACCGATGAAATTAAAACTTAGAGCTTTGATACCACAGCTTTCTAATTAACAGAACTGCAGCTTTTCTTGAGGTCAAATATGGAAAGGATCTTTTGTGGTGTAATAATGTGTCATACTTTCAAACTTAAGTTAGTGTCTTTTTTTTCTCAAATTGACCGGAATCTCAAATCCAAACATATTAATTATTGCAGGGTTCAAAAAAAAAGGACATCTTTTTGCTCATCAACAATATAGATAATTATGTCATTTTTAATTAAACAAATTAACCTTTTATTTGGAAATTCTTTATCCACCAAAATCTGTACTGACCCAAATTATGTTTTATGGATTTTATCATAATTTTATGTTCTCTTAATAGAACAATATATCTTCAATTAGTAATGTCCGTACAAAAGAGTCAATAATATTATTACTCATAGTTATAAGTTTTAGATGTAATTGTAATTGTAAATGTAACTGAGTTACATTAAAACTTTATTTTGTTATAGGTTGCAAAAGATGGAGATGTTGTAGTTGATTTTTGTTGTGGAAGTGGTCATCTCGGTATTGCTATAGCTCACCTCAAACCAAGTTTAACAGTAATATTAGTTGATAATAAAGAAGAATCTTTAAGAAGAGCTAAAGATCGTGTGGAAAAATTAAAATTAAAAAATATTATGGTTGTTCATTCAAATTTAGACTATTTCAATGCAGATTTTCAAGTAATTGTTGAAATTCTAAAAATCATGTTATAATAAGTAGAAAATAAGTAAGCAACTGACTTTAACAAGATTATGTATTTGAATGAAGATTTCACTATCTTTAAAAAAGAATAAATATTATATTTATTGAAAATTTAGCTTGAATCAAATAAAAAACTATTTGAAAATTAATTAACATAGAATGAAATGAAGAAACAAATTTTATTTTGCATTTCTATAAAAGTTGGAAAAAATAAGTTTATAACTGTAACCACTGAACATGTTGACTACAACTTTTATTGTATTTCTAGGTTGGTGTGTGTCTTCACGGATGTGGTGTTGCTACAGATTTAGTTCTGGAAAAATGTATACTGCAAAATGCAGCTTTTGTTGTTTGTCCTTGTTGCTATGGTAGCATTCAAGTAGGTTTAAATTATTTAAAAAATTAAAGATATATAATATTTGTTTGTATAGGATAATCATATTCTGGAATATCCTAGAAGTCAAGTATTAAGGACAAATTTAACTTTTGAAGATTATTTAGTTTTATGCCATTGTGCTGATCAAACACATTTTGATCCTAAATGCTCAAAAACTTTGCAAGGATTTTCATGTATGGCTGCAGTTGATGAAGATCGAGCTACTAGAGCAATTGAATCTGGTTACAATGTTACACTTTCTAAATTAATTCCTCCTACTTGTACACCAAAAAATAATATTCTTGTTGGAATTCCTTTATAATTTTTAACTTTGCCTTGACCAGAACTTAACAATAAAATAATATTTAAATCATATATAATGATTATTGTTGTTTAAACTATAAACATATTTACAAAGAAATGTTAATATATGTTATATACAAATAACTACAATAAAATACAGTTAATTTAATTTTAAATGATGGAAATATTTTTTTAGGTTGAATATGGTTTGAATCGGTGTTACCCTATATTATAAATTTGTCATATTAAATTACCATAATAATAATAATATCTTTATTACGGAAATAACTCCATTTACAATTTATATATAAATATGATAACAGTTAAGAACATATAACAATTAAATCACAAATTAATACAAGTAAATATATATTATAGATTATAAATTAATAATTTTTATTACTATTTAATGTATAAAGATTTAAATTTATCAATATTACTACAAACGAAAAAATCCGAACCAGCCCTATTACCCGCCAACATTAAAACAATAATGGGAGAAGATTCAAATATTTTTTTAAAAATATTTTTTACGTAGAATAAATCTTTAATTCGGGTGCTAATTTTAGGTATTTTAAATTGTAAACGCTCAAGAAGGAATGAGCAATCAATGTCACCATTAATAAGTTTATATAAAAAAACTAAATTTTGACTGTTTCTTCTATAACTTAAAGTATTAATATTAAAAAACCCTAAAAAATAGTGTTCTATTCTATATTATTAACAATAGAAATCACATTGTATTAAATAATCGTAACTTATTGGACACATATTTATATTTGAATATATATTAGTATACATATACAGGTATTCTATCAGATTATAATATCTTTAATAACTTTTGATACAGTGAATATTTTGCATAACTCGAGTCATTGTCTATCGCCAATACTTTTTTATACTTCTTTGCTAATTGAATTACGTTACCCTCGGTACCACAAAACGTGTCTATGGCTAGATTGTAACCCTCACACCTCTTGGTAATATGCTTGCTCAATATTTCAGGACACACGGAATAAAATGATTCTAAAATAATAGATATCGTTATTATTAAACAATAAGAAATCNATTACAATTTTTTATCTTATTAGACATAAATAATGAAAATATGCTTTTAACGTAATACAAAACTTTAAAAATTATAAAAAAATTAATGCAATAGATTAAAAATTATTAAGAGATGATGTAAGACCAGATGAGACAACCCTATGTATATATGTATAGAACAGATCTAACTGACAACTCATTTAACTTTTGATACAATTAACATTATACTGTAAATATATTTTTTTTAATATGCATCTATGCATCTTCATTAAAACCATATATTTTTATTGTTAAGATTAAATATTAAAAAATATACATTTTACATAGTTTATTAATACAAAATAATAATTGAATTAAAAGTTATGAGAGTTGTCAGATAGATTCTAACACTGTACTTCATTTTTAAACATTATTATAGTTATAGTTGTCAAGAAACAGTTAAAATTAAATATCTATTCATAACAAACATTTTTTTTTACTAAAATACTCACTAGGTAAAACTAGTAAAAATTATTTTTTTTCATAAATTAGAACGATAAATTTTAGTAAAAGGTACAATATGTCCATGTTTAGATGTATAATTGTTAATTATTAATTTTATCGGCAAATACCTATCAGTGACATGTATACGATGCATTACAGTAGTATCGAAGTCCTTTAAATTTTTATCCGCATCATAATAAATCTGCAAAGCATCTTCTAAATTTTTGTATTTTCCATCTCCTGTGAACATGAGAAATGAAAAAGTTTTTGTGTGTATGAATATAAAATAATACTAAAAGCAATACATCAATTTTTAAAATCAAAATATCAAATATTTCTGTCAGATTGGGCCATTTTGCACTTTAAATATAAAATTACAGAAGTATAATTTTTTTGATGTACGGATTAAATTTTGGTAAGCTTGTATATTTGCAAATTAAGGTCTCCAATTTCTACAGATGCTATATTGAGCATTTTTTTTTTTTGGTGCAACATATTTATGATGCATTATTTTAGCTTATTTTTAGGGCCGAACGACTAAGGTCAATATGGACTCCTAAAGATCTCTTATAATATATGCTATTCTTTGTTAGGAGTCCTTATACAATTAAAAAAAATGAATTACAAAGGGATGTAATATATTTCCCCTATTGTAACAATATGTTTTTAGACTATATTTATTTTTCAGTTTTTAGTTTTTTATGACATCGCTGTCACAGTCACGGAGTGTTTATTGCCAATTGTTTCAATAGATATAATTTCTGTATTGCCAGTTAGTGTATTTATAAATTCACAACAATGTGTCTTACTACCATTGATAATAAAGGCTATATACCTGCGAATATTATCATAAAAAACCAATTAGATATCTTTATTTGTAATCCCTTGTGTTATACATGTTTCTACGGTATAATCACCTAAAACCAAGTTATTCTTTTTTGTTTTATATAAAATATTTTTATATCAAAACTTAAATTATAAAAAGTCAACATAAAAAAAATAATGAATTATTTTTACAGTAATTGTTCATAGAATTACTAAATAGACATATTTTAATAAATAGGACTCAAGCTTATATAACTTCACTATAAATTACATAAATATAAAAGTATATAAGTACTCGTTTATTTAATATAAAAATTAAGATCTTAAAATCAATTTTTAAAGACTAATTTCTAGTTCTATTCAATTATAATGAAACCAACTTTATTTAATAATTATGAGAACTATACCAGGAAGTAATGTCAGAATGCCATCCTTAACAACAATTATTTTAGGTATAATTTGTTCACAACCTTGACCAATTCTTTTAGGAATAAACTTAATCAAAGCCTCAATGGAAATAAATCGTTTAAGTCTTAATAGTTCATAAAATTGAGGTGTTACTAATATTTCCTCTCCTAATTCAAATTTTGATAATATTTCATCAGGAGTATTCCACTGTAATTTTATTCAATTAGATACATCTATAAAATATATATATTAAATACTAATTTTATTAATACTAACACTTGCATAGGATGTTTCAATACCATCTGGTGTAACAAATGTAGGTGAATTAACTATAGCAATGAAAAATTTTGTGTCAAATTTTGATTTTACAACTGGAGGAGATAACCAATTACTCCAAAAAAAAAGCGCACTAATATTAGGATAGCAATTATTTTGATAACATAAATCAATAAATTTTGAAGCGTCGTTTTGAACTAATTTTCTCCAAGAACTAATTTGTTCAATTTCTAAATGACTGCATTTAAAAGAAGTATTGATATTACTGTTACTTCTTTTTCTACACAATAAAATACCGCTTTCTTCAAATGTTTCTCTTATTGCAGCAATACGAAGGGAAAAATCTTTAGATATAGAATTTTTTTCATTATCCTGAATTAATTTTAATACTGGTTCATCTGTTTATAAAAATCATGTTATATATAAATATTTCAAGCACAATGTATCACTTACATACCATTATACCCAACTATATTTAAATTTAATTCTAGTTTGTTATGAGCTGGTATAATGTTTATCCATTCTAGGGAAGAATCCGACTTTTCGGTAGTTCCGCCTGGGAAAACGGTAACATTTGGTAGAAATGAATTTAAATTACTTCGTTTAAGACATAACACTTTAAATGAACTGTTAATATTAGGAGATCTTGTTAACAAAATTATACTTGAGGCTTCACGCCAATAACTCATTTCAGAAAAAAAAAATTATTATCTTATAGTATTTTGAAAACATAAATATGATTTTTATTGATTAGAATAAAATTTTATAAATCATAAGGCATGAGAGTTATATCTCCAAGTTATTCATTAAACCTTAATTTAAGTCTATACCTGTAAAATGTTTTTTCCATTTATTCTAGTTTTTAATTGATAAAGAATCTGCTTAGATCAGCATGACCACATTAATAAAAATATTTAAATGTAATGCTATTTTTTTTTAATTTTAATGAGTAAAAGAAAAAATACTTTAACTCTATAATTCATATTGCTCAATATATGCCTAGCGTTTCTCCAATGTGACTCTTAAATTTATGATTCCAATCTTCGATAACAATTACACTGAAGTATAATAGAAAAGTCATCCCTTTTAAAGATTTTATTATTAAATTTTTAGATAAAAAAAACAGATGTCACCTAAAAATAAAGTAGAAAACAGACAAGTTATCTAAACAAGAAAAGAACTAGGCATGCAAGGTTCCTGAAATATAGAAATTTTAACTTTATAGCTATCATACTCAATCAAAATAACAACAATTATTATCATAAAATTTATTTTAATTAATAATATAAATATATAGTTATTTTTTCGTTAACCACTAGATCTCTTCTTAAATACAATTAATTTAGAAAATTTCTTTTTTGGCTTATTTAAATATAATTTATTTCTCGACTTTCAAGTTGTTAAATCTTTTTATGGATTATCTCTTATCACTTATAAGGGTTGTAGCTTAAAAAAACATACATAATTCATATTTAAACCTTTTCCCGAAAAAGAAGATATCAAAAACTAAGACCCAGATAGATACTTAACTTTTTCGGAAAGACAGAAATGTTTGGACATTCACAATGGGTAACTTGATAGTCCACCCTTTATACAATGATAGGCAAAATGTAATAACATTTAGGAGGTGTGTAAGCCAAATCAAGACAATTCGGTATGAGGTGTGCACACTGGATCAACAGGTCTCAGTGCATAGGTATTATGTCCACTTCACTAATAACTAAAACTAAAAACGAACTAGTTCATAAAATAGGAAAATAATTCAACTTAGAAAATCGCTGATCGATAACAACTTTTCAATCAGTAGTTCAGGAGTTATGAATATTTTAAAACCCTAGGCGGGAAAAGTAGCACAACAGAGTGATACTTAATGTTAAAAAAATAACCCCACACATCGTCTTTAGTCTACATTTAACAACGTATATAACTTCCAAGATAATGGTTCAAAAATTAAATAAGAATGTTGGCAAAAAAGTTATTACTCTTATAAGGGATAAAGCTAAAAAATATTAAATCACTAAAAACTTGAGAGTTAAATAATGTTAAACAAAATTAAGCATTTTTTTTTGTTATAATTATTATTTGGGGGAAATTTAGTGGTCACTGGAAAATCAACAATTCTGTTCTACAGAATATTTAGTAAATAAACTTTATTTATCTTCATTATTTCATTATTGTTCAATTATTTAACTAATTACAAACATAGGATTACAAATAGAGTTATAGATTACTAATCATGCAAAAAATCTGATAAAATATTGTTTTAGCTTCGATGCGAAGGTATTATTTACTAAGATGTGTTTTTTTTTTTTTTTGTCTGTTACCACTTTTTCTCAGCTCTCACCGAACCGATTTCTTTCAATGATACGTCAAAAGATCACAAATCGTATCTAGTCGAAGTCATTACCCTCAAAAATAGAAAAAATTTCTCTCGTTTCCATAAATAGGGAAAAAGTAATTATAACAAAAAAAAAAACAATTATCAATAAAAAATTTTTTATACTAAACTCCGGTGGTATAATTAAATACTTTGCATACATTTTTTAATGTGTAATTTTCTTAGAAACTATTTTGTGATTGGACAAATCTGAAACCAGATTTCAAATCGGCAGCAAAATTATTATTCTGACAATTATTATATCATATAATAATACACTGGTGTTAGGTATATTTTATGCATATACATCATTGTATAATAGTTTTTATAATCAAAAAATATGGAACATAGATTCTAGTATTTATGTTGGATTTTATTAATTTAAACCACGTACGCAGTGTATCAATATAAATTGATTTTTTATATCAATATAAAAAATGTCATGAAATTTTGAATTTAATTTGCTTGTTAATTCTTAATTAACTAAAAAAATTAAGTTAAATTAATTAAGTTGAAAAATAAACTTTTTAATTAGTCTTCTCAACCTTTGCTTAGCCTTGTACAAACTATGCAATTAAGTATATTTAAATAGTTAATCAAAGTTGTTGGTAAGTTGAATAAATATACCTTAAGTATAACATTAACATTTAATGATATTAAAGTATTATTCAACTAATTTATTAATCATTGATAAGTAAAATAATATCACAATATAAGCGTGCCATATTACAATAAATTATACAATATTTTTTCATTAAATATAAGTCCTCTGAAAAATATACAATTATTGAAATTTGGTAAGACACTCTTTTTTAGAAACTATTTTATTAATAATCGGTCTTACATCATTCTATTTTCCGAACTTAAAATGTTACAGAGGGTGGTTGCCCTCTTTCACATGTTAGGGAGTCAAAGATGGTTCTTGACTAGGACAATGATGAACGGGACGGGTATTATGACCGACTAGCACCAGAGACCAGATATCATCAATGAGAAAATCACAAAAAAAATTTCGTTAGTACCCTGGGAATTAAATCTGGAACCCAGTGCACCGATCGAACGTGGGCAGAACCACTAAGCCAGGCCGATCCCTTTGTTTCAAAAACTATTGAGAATTTAAAATTTTTGTAAAAAGAAAATTTTAGGTTCAAAAAAAAAAAAACTACAACTATATATAGATAATTAATTTTTCTCTTTCAGGGATAAAAATTCTTATTTAAAATTTTTTTAAATGGGAAACCCCCATTTTTAATTTTGTAATATATATATAAATTACAAACAACTTTGTTTTTTTATCCAGTCAATCTTTTGAGTTTTATAACTATTTAAAGAATTTGTGTTAAAAAAAAATTGTCATTAATTTGGTTTTATAATACCAGTGGCAGTGTAACCAGTATTCTTGCTGCTACAGTGACAGGAATAATAATAGACCCGTGTATCTATTATTAACCAATAGTCAAAATCCTTCGTAGCTATAGCTTATAATAAAATTAAAATAAAGGTTTTATTATAATGACATATATTAAACACAAAATACAGTTTTTTTATTGCAGCTATAATTCACAAGAAGTAAACATAAGTGAATTTCTAGTTTTAGAGATGCCTTGTATGATAAGAAAATAAAAGAGGGAGGTTCTGTTTAATTAAGGATATTCAATAAATAAACAAAAAATTTTCCATAGATTCTTCCTCGTGTAGATGACAAAGAATAATGGCGTTGAAAAACATAAGTTAATTATTTGACAGTGGCATAATCAAACATATTTTTCAGAGTAAGATTGATAATATTTATACAAATAAAAATTTAACAATACATCTTATAAGTTTAGCACACTAATTCTTATATCATGAATAGACAAGCTAACAAAATAAAGATAATAGTTTAAAATTAATTAAATACATACAATTATTATTTATTAGCTATTTTCAAAGATCATAGCAATTATTTTAAATCTATAAAATTTCAGATGGAAACACTGCAGCTTTCTCAGCCACTCTTTGGTTACTTCACTGTGATTTGGATATGAGGAAGACATTATATTTTTTTTAATTAATATTATGCTGGTTAATATCTATATATCTTTCTTATGTAATTTATAATCTTAACGCCAATTTAGAGAATGTATTGAATAATTAAATGCAATGACAATAACTACACTTAAACTAATATCTAACTTGTTCGAGAATTCCCTGACGTATAAGTGGTTCAGCCTGTGACCTAGATAACATGTATTGACTATTTTTTCTTAAAATTAGAATTTCACCACTCTCCAACTCTAATTTTCCAGCATCAACTAAACTTCTAACCTAAAATAAGAATATTTAATCTTATCACAATATAATTAGGTTCATAAACGAAAATTTAAGTTATGAAACAATTTCCCTCCCCTTAAAGTTAATATACAGTTCTGGATATTGGCAACCTTTAAGCAGTCTTCATCAATTATTTTTTTGATATTTTTAATGAGTTATTAATAAATATCAATAAATAAAATTTATAACTTAAATATTTTTTTTACAGTTGAAAACTTAATATCATTTGGATAGAAGATGATCTATAAAATTTATGAAGTAAACCAAGAATAGTGAACATTTTACCTATGATTAGCATTATTTATGGTATTTATTTATTTGTGGTGGATTTAAGTTGAGTTTAAGTGGTCTAATGCCCAAACAGAAATATTTATAGATTATGTAACACATAGATTCTGATATGTATATTAAGTACATATTATGCTCCCAGATCCTTTAGTAAAATATTGAAAATCTATTACTATCATTCGACATGAAAAAATAAGTAGTATTCACTTACAAGGGAAGGATGGTGAATTTCATAAAAGTTTTACAATTATTATCTAAATTGAATAAAAAGTAATACTTATTTTGAGTTTAGAGATGAGAATGCTTAGATGGATGTGTGGAGTGATTAGAGAAGATAGGATAAGGAACGAGCATATAAGAGAGAGTATAGGTTTAGCGTCAATCGTGGATAAGATGAGACTTAGATCTTAGAATAATAGACTTAGATGGTTTGATCATGTTATGAGGAGAGAAGAATCGGAAGCTATAGAACAATTATAGAAATTAATGTTGAAAAAAGAAGAGGTAGTGGAAGACTAAAAAAAAGATTGAGGGATGTTATTGAATGCGATACGAGGACAGCTGATGTGAGTATAGATCATGACAAGTGGAAGTTTAGGATAAGGATGGCTGACCTCAAGTAGTTGGGATAAAAGCGTAGATTAAGAAGAAAATGTTTAGTACTACAATATACCAATTTTTTTGTTTAACTTTAGGGACCGTTTACATATAGAAGATAAGTTGGCAAATGGCTGCCATAATTAAAAAACATGACATTTTTGTGTTATTATTTCGATTTTAATTTTATGTTTTTAACTTTAAATTGTTATAACTATTTTAAAAATGTGTGGAACAATCCAATTTTATTTTTATAAGTACCTTATACACTCATTATTAAGTCTATATTTAAATTAACAATAAGATAATTGCAAGGATGAGGAAGTAAGAAAATATTTATAATTAACACTTTAATAATTTTAAAATGTTTTTTCATAAGGAGATTATTTGGAGTACTTATCTCCCATCCACTTAAATAACAATGCCAGTTGACTTAAAATATAAACGTAAATAATTAAAAAAAAAAAACCCAGCACAAGGGGGTCGCGGCACAGTGGTGACGTGGCATAGATGGATCAAGTATAATGATATCTGACAGTGATTAAAATCACTATAAAAAAAAAACACTTCGATGCAAATCTTTAGATAGTGTTTAATTTTAAAAAATTGGTGGATTATTCCAAAAGCTACATGATCTGCTAGTTCCTTATTAATATCTTGATTAAGATAAAGTATGTCGAATGAAAAAGGATTATTAAAAAATATTATTTCTCATAAAAAAATTGTGTTGATCCATACACTTTTCAATAAGTTATAGCATTATAAAATTAAAAATATAAAAAATAAAATCGAGATTTTTTACACAAAAATAGCATTTGGTAGCCATTTTCACCATGAAAACAAGTCCAGAGGTCAAATTTTTTTTTTTCAAATTAAAGTATATTACATTAACTTTAATTTAAGATATATATAAAAGTGTCAGACCTTCCAGAATACTTTCAAAAGTTAAGTTGAAAAAGTTCTACTTTCTATATGCATTTTTTAGATTTGAAGCCCTCCCCGTATATAGGGAAATAGTGTGATTTAAAAAAAATGTCGAATGAAAGATGTATATAAATACTACTTCTCATGAATAAATTGTATCGATCCATACATTTTTGAAAAAGTTATAGCATTTAAAAGTAAAAAATGTAAATTATTAAATCGAGAATTTTAACACAAAAATAGCATACGGTAGCCATTTTCACTGTGAAGACAAAATAAAGTCCGAAATTTTTTTTTTCCATAATAAAGTATATCACATTAGCTTTAATTTAAGATAAAATAAAAGTGTCAGTATTTCCGGAACACTTTCAAAAGTTATGTTGAAAAAGTTGTAATTTTAAATCCCCCCCTGTGGGCAGTTAAAGGATCAGATATAAAAAAAAATATACCAAATGATAGGTAAAGACATCAAGCATCTAAAAAAAAAATTATATTGATATGTTCATTTTTGAAAAAGTTACGGCAGTTTTTAGTCAAAAAAATTGAAAAAATTTCGAAAATTAGCAATTTTTAAATTTGTAATTTTTTTGGAGGTTTCCCCCATTTACGGAAACGAGAGAAATTTTTTCTATTTTTGAGGGAAATGTCTACGATTAGTTACGATACAATTTTATTAAACGATTCATCAAAAGATTATACATCATATTTAGATAAAAACATTACATTCATAAATTGAAAAAATATCCCTGATAACTAGTAAATGGGAGAAATACAAAAAAAAAAACTATTTTTAAAATCGATAAATTCTGACATTTTAAAAATTTTTTTAAGTAAAATTCTGTCATAAATATTTGAAAAATGGAATAATGAAAACAAACTTTTTTATAAATACTTAAGGTATTTCTCTTTCATAAGATATATATTTTTTAAAAATCTGACCCTTACCTATTCATATGGAAGATTTCAATAGCAACTTTTGCATAGAAAGTTCATTTTTTTTACTTAAATTTTGAAAATACTGGGTTCTTAAACATATTTTAAATTACAGATCATTTTACATATTACAAGTTAAAAAAAAATTGTCCTGGCGACTTGTTTTCTATATGTAAATAGACACCGTAGTTAAAATTTATGCTATTTTTCTCTTTTAATTTTAGTATTTTAAGTTTTAATTAAATATAAAATGTATGGATCAATTCCACTTTTCTTTGAAAGGTACATCATAAATAACTCATCCGACATACTTTTTTAAAAATTCGAATAATTCTTACTTTTTCAAGTTAATTTAATTTAAAAAAATATTCCTGAAATACTCCAAACATATGATAAATTAAGTAAGCTAATGTTACCTACTATAAATTAAAAAAAAAAATTTAATCCCCTTTTACAAAAAAAAAAAAAAAATAAATATAAAAGATTTAAGTGTTAATTAAAAATATTTTAAGGGGAATTTTCGCAGCTTTTTAATATTATTTTAATAAGTATATCCAATAAGATACCAATGATACGTGACAAATTAAAATTTCAGCTTCATAATTGAAATTATATTTAACTAGTCGATTAGAATAATCAAACATACTTATATGTAATTTTTCAATAAAAATTATAATACTAAATAAAATTTCAGTTTCATACTAAATTTCATTACTATAATAAGTATTTGTTCATGTATATTTATAAATCATAAAACTTTTAATCAGGATATAATTAAGTAAATAGGAATTTACATTGGTTTTGAAATAATCCAAAAATTCTTTTAAAAATTAAACACTATTTACAGATTTGCATTGAAGTTTTTAATATATACATATTTATTTAGGCTGACCTACTACACCACACATATATACATTGAAAAAGTCTTGTCTCTCTGGAAAATTTGAATATCACTTTGGGTTTTATTATATTATGTGTAATTTAAATTGACAAATAAATTCTTTTTTTTATGGTTCTCAAAAAATTTGGCCTTCTACTATAAAACTAATTTTTTTACCCCTGTTATACATTATTAATTTTCATATATTATTATTAAATGTTATACTATAATAAATAGATAAATTACTTCTGTATAGAGTGATTTAGGTGGTTTCATATCTTGAAAAAGATTAAGACCTGTATCAGGTCCAATGGATTTCATATACAATACTAATGATTTACAATAACTGTTGAACCACTCAATCTGAAAAATATATCAAAATTTAAACATCTACTATACATAGTATAATTTATTATACTTCAGATTGTGAGAGATTTTGTCTGATATCTATTGGTAAAATAGCTCCTATTTCCCATCTCATTTCTTTTAACCGTTGCAGTCTAGTCCATCTAAATCATTAAATTAATAATTTACGAAAACAAAATTAAGAGGTTATAAGATAATAATTTCCATATACTTGGAATTTTTCAAATTAACTTTAAAAAGTAATTTTTAATAACTTTAACTAAAATTTTTATAAAAATAACTACATAGAATAAATTTGAATAAAAGTTTTTAAATTATATTATCATTCCAAAATGTTAACAGGTAATAACTCTTAATGTAACTTAACTTAAAAAAAGAAAAAATGTTTAAGGCGCTCTTTAATTTTTATTGGGTTATTTACAATCAATATATTATAATAAATTCTGTACCAATATCGTAAAATATTTTATCTGATAGTTTTACCTTTTTGGTATAATTTATCATCTAAATTTGTTTAAAATCAAATTATAGTGTTCACAATAAAATATTTAGATATTAAAGTTAATTTGAAATAATAAATACAAAATTATTAAGTCTTTTGAAATCTATTAATACATTTTTTTTGTATAAAAATTCATAAATGACTTTTTCCCCATAATAGTATAGAATGAGTACAAACTGAATTTAGACTTTTAGGAGCCTAGAGAAAATTTGTTTGGTTAAGTCAGACAAAACAATGCTACTAAAAATATTAAATCTAATCCTCTAATAAATTCTAGGTACTGGTGTAATTAAGGGAGGTATGAAGGACTACCCTTGCACTTAAAGAATTAGTTCCCCTAATATCACTTTTCAGGAGATGTATTTATTAATGTACTAAAATAATTTTTAAAGTCGAGAAAAATAGATAGCAACCCAACAATTTTACTCTAGTTTTGAAAATAACTGAATTTCCCTAACCCTTATAATAATAATAATATAAAAATATATATTAATAGACATAAATAAATATGTATTGTGACTTTATAGAGATTACCAAATATTTCAATATAATTTCCATTGAGAAATTTTAAGGTACTTGACTTATGACACCAATTAATAAAAATATAAAATAATAATTATTTAATGAAATTCAAAATTTTGTTTTCCATAAATTATCAATCAAAGATTAAAGAGACTTTTTATTTTTGAGTCTGCCCTCAAAAATGTTGGACCTCAGTCATGTGTCCATAAAACTCTCTGTCAAACCAGACTTGCTCGAATAGAAAATTGCATGTTTAAAATAAATAAAAGATTAAATATTTTGTACAAATTTACTAATTCTAAAATATAATATTAACAAAGGTATAAGAAAATAAAGATAATAAAGTGTGAAAAGTTTAAATGATTTTCAATTAATTTATCAATTTGTTATTAATATTTTTTTATGGTTAGACAATTAAATATATTATTATTTCAGTTATTACAACTTTCTGTTGTACATACATATAGTTGAAATTATAAAATATATTTCATTGAAAATAATAAACTTCAGATAAGAAATTACATGTAAGTCATTAAGCATCTTTTATTTCTTTCAATTGCTGCACGGCGTAAAAGTACAGGATCCATTGGAACTTGGTCTCTGGGATGATTACGTCTAAAAATATTATGAAATTTTGTTTAAAAATAACAATATGAATTGTGATCCAAAAATATATAAAATTTGTATATAATTGTTAATTAATGATGTAATAATATAGTATACCAGAAAATGGGTATTTTAAATTAAGCAAAATAAAAAATGTGGATTGAATTAATATAAATCTTACCGTTGTGAAAAGAGACAAACCTAATAACTTCATAAAAAAAGAAAAAACTGTAGCAAAAAGACATAGAATATCCTATTCCAATTTGGCTCACTACCACTTAATTACAAAAGCAATGCTTCCAATTTACAAAGATGGAACACACCCTCAACTCATTGAAACACATACTAACTAAATTTCTAAAATATAGGGTGTTCAATAGAGTTTCTATTGTTTGTTCTTTGTTCTAATATATGTAGCAATTGACCTGTTTTCTTACTTTTTGAACATTCTGCAGAATTTCAAGGTAGTTCTTTAAGTTCAGATCAACAGCCACTATGTCAAACACTTAACTTCATTACAGAAGCTTAACTTAGTAATATTTTAAAAACTGTAAATATGTTTATGTTAACTTAAAATGTAAACACAAATTGTCTTATAAACTAATAGCCTAGCTGCTGAAGCTATCGATTAATAAAGAAAATGTAAAAAAAACTCATACGAATAAAGAGTTTTCAAATTTATGATACTAATGATACTAAGAATTAAGATTAAAAATATGTTATTTTCGATTTAATATAGTATATTAGGACCAAAAATTCTATTACTAAACAATATTAAAGTCAATGTTACCACACTTGAAGAATAGATTTTTCTATTTAGTCTCATAGTAACAGGGTATGATCTCATAGCATGAAGCAACCAATTTAGTCTACATTTAAATAAAATAAAAAATGTTCTGCCATCTTTGATAAAATATATTTAACTTCTGTAGTAATATTAAAGATATTCATATAAAAAAAAATTAATATGTAAATATAGATTAAACTTACATAATATCTAAAATTTCATCATCTAAAATTTTCATTTCTGTAAGTACTTGATTTACTCCATCATTCTGAAAACATTTTTACAATAAAATGTATCATAATTTCAAGAATTTAATAAAGGCATTGGCCGTTAAAGTAAAAAAAAAAAATGGAAATTTTACATTCAAAAATATAAAATTCTTTCATTTTAGTATAACTTTTTCAAAAATGTACAAATTTTAATGAAACATTTATAAGTAGATAGCAGATTTATACATTTTATTTTAAAATGACCCAAGTTAGTACAAATTTGTTTTTGAAATATACAGTAGTTAAACAATATTTTTTATTTTAGGGGAATATATATATAACATTATAACTCCAGTTAGATCACATTTCTCAATTTTTTCCTTAGTATTTTTTTATAAATAATCACATTGGTTATGTAATTATTATTATTGATGAAGTGTTTTACTCCAGTGATGATAATCACTGTAAAATTACAATTTATACTGGAGCTTACTATGCTATTGGGTTTATTATCTGCATTTAAATTAAATCATTAATAAAATATTTTTATTTTAGAAAATTCTTAGGATATTTACTTGATTCGAAATAGGTAAAATAAATTTTATTGAATATATTTCATTTAAATTTTCTTAATAGAATACAACAATGTAGTAGTCCTATATTAATAATGTGTTGATATTAAACATTCTATAAAATACTAAACATATAATATTTAAACTCAAGTTAAAGTAATTTTATACAAAATTGAAATAAAATAATTAATAGTAATAAAACTGTAAATAAATGAAAAAGAAAATAAAATCTTTGGATTAGCTATTCAGCTTAAATAATAATCTAGAATCTATAGACATAGGCAAATAAGACAAAAGCCTACGATCTAAAATTATAGTGAAATTTTCTTGATGCTTAAGCTATTAAAGAAGGGTCTTAATTTGGTAATCATCTAGAGAATTGGAGGCTCCAAGTACGACTTTCGCTTTACCAATGATTTTTATTTCTTAAGGTTTAATTTTATAATACTTACGTTGTATGGAGGTATTGTATCTTCACGAGAACGCTCCAATTCTTTTAATAATTCAATTACTCTATCACAATACATAGTTATTACTTTTCTTCTCTCAGTAGTAATATATAATACAAGAAAGTACAGATGACTAAAAATGTTCTACGGTAAAAAATTTAAATTGCACTTAACACAAACTTAGAAACAGTTATAAGTTTTGAATTGTCGTGATAAAAATTGTTATAGTCGTTATCTATTATCAATTACTTAAACTATATGATAAATTGAGTTGAAATATAAGTTCATAGGTGGGAAATTACATGATATTTTTCTAATTATTTTATTATCATAACCATCATAATAACGGTAAAACAGAATACTGGTCATGTTTTGTTTATATAAATTTAAAAAAAAAAATATGTGATATCTTTTACTATCATTTTATAAACTTATATTAAGGTAGCTCTATACGTATTAATTCTGGTGATGGGCATAATCGAATGATTTCGATAATCGAATGATTAGTAATCGAGACATTTTCATAATCGAGTGAATCTCTCGAAAAATCACTCGAAGTTAAAATCGTCTGCTTGTATGATAAGAATAATCAACTATTATTATTTATCGAGAGAATCGAAAAATTATTCGAAATATGAATAAATATACCTATAGTAAATAATTATTAATTTAATTTTGCTTTTTTTATTTGTTGGTGTTTATTTATAATTATTATATTAAACTATAATTTAGGAATAATAATAACAATAATATATTAATAATGCATTATTAATAAGTGCTTTAAATAAAAGACAAGTTGTTATTTTTATTATTTAATAATTATTACCTATATTTTAAAAAAACCGATAACAAATTTAAAAATAAAAACATAAGATAAGGTAGCAATAGCCGGCTTGACCATCATAATTAAAACACCTGATTCCACACCTAATTGATTTTTCATAAATTCACAACTAGTGAGAGAATCAGAACTCAGTAGTTTAGCCAGTTCAGGACAAAACTTTGTTCTAATCGTCACATACTTCCCAAAAATGTGACAGATAAGGTGTTGCCATGAGTAGCGATTGAACGAGTTGAAAATAAGAAGACTCGAAGTCAACAATTTAATAATAATTCGACTATAATTTATGCTAAATAAAAACTTAAAAATAGTATTCTCTCGTTTCATCGTTTCATGGACATCATTCGAAATAACTTTTATTCGATTATATACATTTCAAGATCAAGAAATCATTGTTTTTATAATAAACGAGAAATCATTAGAAATAATCACTCGATTATAGAATAATCAATATTATTTAAAAAATCAGAATATCTCGATTATATATCTCGATTATGCCTATCACTAATTAATTCTCCTTAGGACATATAAATATATTTGATATTATTGTTTATAATCAGAGTTGAATTAAGCATATTAAAATAAAAAACCAGTAAAATCAAAATTCTACTACAGATGCAAAAAAATCACTTTCACTAGCAATCAAATAATATTGATATAATTAATTATATTAGAAGCAACAAATATATATTGATGATGTACATAAAATAGTAAAAATAATTTTGATCCGTACAATTTATTAGTTATAAAATAGAAGAACCTTTTAGTTCAATTAAAGTTAATGAAGTACATACGTTTATTATTAATTTTTTCAAATTCTATTGAACTTGGAGTTACCAATCGGATTATTTTTTAAGTTTCGCGTTTTGTTTACATATTTGTATTTATCTAATACACTAAAAACATAATTAAAATGATCAATAATAGCTTTTCAAATATATATATATATATATATATATATATATATATATATATACATAATAGAACATGAAGTAAATGCCTCTAGAATATATATTATATTAGGCCAGTTTAGTGTAACATTTTTTTATATTTAAAGAACTATCTATTTTGTTTCTATGTCTAAAATTGATAACTTTAAACTAAATTTATTTTAAAATAATTTTATAATTTAACAAAATAAGCAATTTTTTTTTTAACATACGACTATGCAAAATACAATTTAGGGAGAACTGAAGCATTTCGTGAAATTAAGTCATCATCGTTCTTTTAATCGTCAATAACAGTAATATGATTAGAATTTAATGCCAGTGGAAAGATCTAAATAAGATAAATTTTCTATACTCTTTTAAACGAATCAAATTGCCATTTGTACCATAATTTTTTTTAATTTTGGAAAAAAACAATCGTTATATTCCTAATGCCATCATTTAATAGATCAAAAAAATTCTAATAATTTCTAATCATAATGTATAATATTAATCTATTCTACAGTTCCGACAAAAACTCATTAATTTCATCCAATATACTAAATTAACATATATAATAAACTATAAATCGACATCATACAGCCCCATAGTCTTCTGTTTTTTTAATTTTACATGAAAATATTAAAAGGAACTATAGTTTGTGATAATAGAAATTGCCATCTACTTGGAATCCAAAAACGCATTTATTCGGCTTGTGTAGCTCTCTCGTACCATAGAGTAATATTACTCTATGTCAAGTACAAATCCCCTAGCTCACTCTAACGGTATAAATATAAACTAAGTATTAACACAAACAAAGAACGTGTCCAATGCACGTCCAAGGTTTACGGTCTGGAAAATATAAAAAACATATCACCGAAGGGTGTTGTTTACCGTTTAGCAGCTATCGTATTTTTCCGTCAGGCCGGGCGTATGTCGAGGTTTTATTCACAATATTCATTGGATTTGTTTTGAGTTAATATTTATAATTATTGTTATTAATACGCCAAATAGGTCAAGTTCTTTTAAAAACAAAATTTCACCATTTTTCTTGTTAAAAATGTCACACGGCTCTGTGCGTACCTCAGTTTTACGATCTGTCTGAACGCATCAGCCATTTTGTTTGTATTAACATCTCATAATTGTCAACTTTAACGAGGAAACTCGAATTTTATTCACCAACAAAACATCTTGATGTCCATCTCCGGTAATTCAATCCTCTACGTCGGGATTACATAACTTTGAGTGAGTACTGTTAAAAGTGAATAAATTGAAACGTGTGTCTCGTACATATTAGTTTTCCATATCATGCCCCCTAGTGTTTGTCTAGAGTGTTAAAATTGTCAAAAGCTTATTTTTTTTTTAATTATTTACTATGTGTTCTAGGGTAGGTTAAAAAATATTTAAATAACCTTTATAAATAAAAACTTTGTCAAAATATATTATTACATTTTCGTGGACTTTATCATAATTGATTTCTGATGGCCATATTGTCTTTTTACCTATTCTTTGAAAGAATAAGTAAATATTGTAAATAATCTTAATAATACAGCAAGTATTAACACATCCACAAGAATAAATAATAATTATTCAGCGAAGTTGAAAATTACCCATTGTTTTGTGATGAATATTGAAAAACATCTTATATTTTTGAAATAGTGACCAAGGAACACATAAAACTTAAATAAAATCTTGTTACAATTTTTTTATAAAATTTTAATTTCTTCAACAATTGACATCTCTTATTATTGTTTATATTTATATTGATAATATATTTGATTTATAAAAGTAATTTTTGAATGAGTTACTAAGTTAGTTTTTACATAGTTATTGGTAGTTACTTGATATGATTTTAAACATGTTTTTTATGAATTATAACATTAATTTAAACTTACAAATTGATCTTGAAATATTTAATGTCATTTATTTTTAGATATTTAAATTTATTTGAACAAGTGTATTAAACTTAATATTTTGTTTTATATTAATTGAAAATAACTGTATATTAGTTACAAATAACTTACAGAAGTTTAATCAAATCATTATTTTCTTTTAAACTTTAAAGAAAGAAAGGAAAAAAGGAAATTAATTATTTGTTTAATAATTAAAATTTACTCTATATAATTAATAATACATTTTATATATTTTCTTGGCCTAGCCAAAAATCATCTTTGACTCTCTAACATGTGAAAGAGGACCACTACCCTCTGTAGCATTTTAAGGTCGGGAAATAGAAGGATGTAAAACTAATCAATTTTTATATAATATCATTTTAAGATTTATTCTATTTTATTATTTTAGGAGAGAATAAAATGGTGTTAGTGGTCGGGGCTCGCGGTCCTGGGCACGGATGGCGGCCCCAATGAAAGAAGAGCTAGGTGGGGCGGTGGCGGCGTCCACAGATAGTGTTGAAAGTTGCAATGGTAACAATAACAATTCTAGCAGTAATGCAAATTTTGAATATGACGACAATGAATGGGATATTGGAATAGGTGATTTGATTATTGACTTAGACGCTGATATAGAAAAAACAGGTTCAACCTCATCAACAACTACAACAGGTGATACTCTCAGTATCACTAATAGCGGAACACTAACAGTCGGTGTATCGGCTGGTGGTGGAGCCATGTCAGGAGCTGCTGCAACAGCACCTTCAGCTAATACAGCTGGCAGCAATAAAACTAATGTTGAACACTCAGCTACTGTTGATAAAGGATTAAAAATGAAAATTAAACGAACAAAAACAGGAACTAAGAGCTTTGAAGCCAAACATGAAATTGTCAAGCCTGGTGAACAAAATGGGTCTGCAGCTTCTGCCCAATCCCAGTCAAGTGGCAGCGCATCTTCTAACGATTCATCTGGATCATCAATAGAATCAAAACAAAACAGTAAGTACCTCTTTATATAAAATGAAAATCTTAATATTCAACTAAGTCTAAATACTATTCAACTATTATTTTATTGATAATGAAATATTAAGATAAACATTTAACTTGTACCAAATTTATGTTTAGTTTATTTAACTAATAAAACTAGTAAATTTTTTTAAATACTATTATAGTAATTTAATTGAAAAATGAATTATTTATTGCATGCTTGATGATAAAATTACTAATTATTTAATAGAATTTTTAATACTGCAAGTAACTTGATAATTTTCGCTAGTTATTTTAATGATTTTTAAAAATAATGAGTACTGTATCTATTTTTTTCATATTTGTTAAGATAAACATGCTACTACATCTAATGCAAGTTCTTCTACTCTTACGAACAATACTCCATCAACTGCAAGTTCAGTAAAACGTGGTTCTAGCAGTCATCGTAGAGATAAAGTAAAAGATAAGCAACATGGTTCATCTTCAAGTGTTGAGAAGTGTCATAAAGGAAATTCAAGTCTTACTTCAGAATTAAATGGTCGGAATAATGTTGCACAATCAACTTCTAGAACTAATGCATTCCCAACAATGACTAGCAATATCCAGACTCCTCCTAATGTACCCAATTCTGGATCACAAGTAGGAGAATCAGGAACCTCGACCATTAATGTGACTACTAATGGGTCTGAACAAAATAAATCACCTTCAGTAAATTCTTCTGAAAATCCTTTAAATATATCTAAATCTTCTTCTTTTATGTCTCTTGTGACAAAACCTTTACAATCTACCTCGCCACCTCCAGCAAATAAAGTAAAATCTTCTAACTGTTCAACTTCTGTGTCTACAATAGAACATAAGGTATATTATATTTTAATTTCTTTTAAAAAATAACATTGAATCTAATTAAAAGTCAGCCACGCTAACTAAATATTTAGATGAATTTATAAATTATATCAGATATATGTTAATTAATTGTTTATTCACAGGAAACAGCTGATGCTTGTGTAGGAACTAGTATCAGTATTGGGACTGTCACAGAACCTGATTGTTTTGGTCCATGTGAACCAGGAACTCATGTCAATTTAGAAGGAATTGTTTGGAATGAAATTGAAGGTATGTCATTATTTTATGTCTAGTATTTAGTATGTTTAAAAATATATGCTTACATTAAACATATCTATAATACCATGATTCTTTCAGCCACACATCATGTTATCAACCTATATGAAAGTGTATTTGATTATGAATCATAAGTGCACGGTGGCCTAGTGGTAATGTTAGTCTCCAAGATATCTTAGGTCCTAGGTTATAATCCCGTACCGTGTAATTTATATTCATATGATTTTCAGTACACTTTTTATGATAGCCGGTGTTATTATCATAAATAAATATTATTAATTCATTTATTATAAATAATTTATCTTATTTTCAGGTGTTTTAGTTGTAAATGTTACATGGAGAGGAAAAACCTATATAGGGACTTTATTAGATTGTACTAGACATGATTGGGCTCCACCTAGGTAAATAATAAATTATTCAATATAATTATAGTTATGTTTATTTACAACATGAAATTTTCTATTAAAGATTTTCTGAGGCATCAGCTGGAGAACCTGAATGTCGTCTACCACAGAAAGGACGTGGAAAACGAGGTCGAGCTAGTTTAACTGCTAGTCCAAGCAATGATTTAGTAAATTTTACTGAGACTAGATCATCTGTCCACAGTAAACTCAGAAGTAATGGAACTAATAAATGTAATACTACTAATAATTCTAATAGAAGAGGAACATCATCACCTACTCCTACATCTTTTGCACCACCACGTTCCGAGTCTACAGGTTCAAATAAAAGAAAGAAACCCCTTAGTTCTGAAGATGAAACATCAGGAAAGAAGATTAAAGCAGAACCAGCTAGTCCTCCTCCTATGTCACCTACCATGTTAGAATGTCCTGATCCAAATTGTTCAAAAAAGTATAAAAATGCCAATGGTTTGAGATATCATCAATCTCATGCTCATGGAGCTGCATTAGATGATGAAGATGGTGATACTAAAGAGTCAGGTGGAGCAAGTTATTCTGAAAATGAGGATGACATCAGTCCAGCTCCTATGAGTAGCTTAAATGTTCCAGAAATCCAAAAAGAAGAACAAACAGTTATTGATAATGCTGAACAATCCCCATCTTCTACTACTCCACCAGCTATTGAATCTGATCCTCCTGCACCATTACAATCACCTCCGCTTTTAGTCCCCAAACCAAGTGTTTTACGTTTTAGTCTTTCAACAAATGAGGAAACAAGTACTTCAACACCTATATCAACTACTCCCAAAACCGTTCTTTCAGTTCCTGTTGTTCAACCCTCGCCTACTCCACCACCATTATTACAACCAGCTACACCAATACAGAATATTGCTCCCACTTCACAATCACCACAACCTCAACCCCCCATTTTGCATGTACAAAGTCCTGCATCTCAACAGTTACCACCTCAAGTTCAGCCTCTTGCATTAAATCAACCACAAGTTCAAAAAGTACCACAGTTTAAAGTTAAACCAGCTTCTGCATTGATGCCTATGGAAGATAATTTGAAAGGAAATAAAGATACTAAAAATAAAGTTTCTTCTACTCACAAGAAGAAAAATCGTAAATCCCCAGCTAGTAGCCCACGACCTTTTCCTATTGACCAACCACAGTTTGAAAATACCAACTGTGGACGTGAAGATGTTCAGAGTCCAGCATATTCAGATATTTCAGATGATACTGCTCCAATTCTTGAAGTTGAAATGAATGATAGCATAAACAAACCAAAATTATTACCTGGAGATAAGAAAACTGATCAAAATACTGCTCTTTCTCCACATTCAATTCAACCTTACAATATGTATTCTTCCTATTATGGTCAACCTCCATATTTGATTTCTTCAATGCAATCAAACGACACATCTAAACAAATGAAAGAAACTGATAAAACAAATTCTCAATCGCAAGATTTGAAGTTGCCAAATACTGGAGATAAAGATAATAAAAAAGATATATCCTCTAATCAAGCATCAGATTACCAACAACAAAAACTTTTACAACAGTATTTTACATATGATGCTTTTGTTCAAAATTATCCTTATAATATTGGATCGGGTTATCCAATGTCTATGGTTCAAGACAAAGATTTGAATAAAGATGAAAAAAATCATCAGTCTTCTATAGCAGGATCATTAAATGTTCCTCAAACAAATAAAATTAAGTCTGAACAGGTAAATCCTAAAGATAAATCTCATCAAAATGAAAACCATCAAATCATGAAAGAAAGTATTGAAATGAAATCTCAAATGAATTCTGCCTACATGTTTTCACGACAGCAGCAACAACAACAACAACAACAACAGGATGATGCTAGACGTTATTATGGTTATCCAGATCAAAGACGCAAAGAACACAGTTCTAGTGAACACGCACATAATAAACCTAGCACACAAACAACCCCTACTAAACATTCAACTCCTTTAAATACAGCACATAAACATAAAGATAAACATGATGATAAAAAAGATGACAAATTGAATAAATCTTCTCATTTGTCAGAGGGTGTGAAACCTACAATGGAAACACAAGGTCCACCACCTCCACCAACATCATATGCTTATATACATCCAGGATTTATGCAATCGCCTCATTTTGCAGGTGCTTTAGCCTTTGATCCTATGTATCGTAGTGCAATTAATCCAATGTTGGTGCCTGGACCTTATGGTAATACTCCACCACCTTCTTACTTACATCCTCAGATACATGCTCAAATGCAACGATACCATGCTCCTGAAGACCTTTCTCGACCAGCAGCTTCAACACAATCAACTAACTCAACACAATCGCCATCTGGACCAAAAGCTGCCCTTGATCTCCTACAGCATCATGCTAGTCAATATTATTCTTCTCATAAAATACATGAATTGCAAGAACGTGCCATCAAATCACCAACACCAAAATCTAATCCTCCTCCTGGACTTCCACCAGCTCCTTCACCAGGAACACGACAATCGCCATCTTTGAGCACAACAGGAGTAACATTATCTGCTTCAGAACGTTCTACGTCTGCTGGACCTCCTCCAGCATCTCAATCATCCAGTAAACCAGGGTCAACTGGTGATCCTAAAGACTGCCGATCACCTCCTCCACAAAGGCATGTACATACTCATCATCATACTCATGTAGGTCTTGGATACCCATTGTATCCAGCTCCTTACACTGGTAAGCCTTTATAAATTATCATGTGTAGTTCTAAATTATCGAGCTATTATCGATATATTAACTTTTAATATGATACAATTATTTTACTGGGGCATTATTTATATTTAATTTCCCTGGAAACTTATGTAAATTATAAGACGATAAATCAGTCTTATAACTTTAATTGTATATTTAAAATTTTTAACTGACTATTTGTAATAATTTGGCACCTTATTTAATTTTTTTTGGCTTTATAGCCAAAATGTATTATTGCTCAGAAGAATAACTAGTGCATTTAATATGATAAATATATTACAATGGCTAATTATATGAAATATTTCAATTTTTTTACTTAAATATTGTATTGAGGTTTAGTTGTCTGGGAATAAATTATAAAGTAATGTAAACATAGAGTTGACTATAATGATTAGTATCATATAAAGCTATGTAGTGTTCATAAGAATGTTGACTATTTGTTGCATGTTTTTGATCTTTTTGATCTTATAACATTTACAAACCAGTTTGATCAAAGCTAATCGTTATTTACTTTAATTTTTAGTTGATATTTTTTATTATTTATAATTTTTTTATACACTTAATTATTATCAATTGTATATTTTTGTGTAGAATCATAATTATACATGTAATATAAATTTTATTTACGGGATACATTTTCCTAAAGCTGGGGGTGGTTGTTATTTGACTGTTGACTTCGGATACTATTAATATTGCATCAATTAAAAAATGTTAATGACTTTCATTGTAGTAATTAAAATATTTTACAAAAAAATTTTTCACTTAATTTTCTGAGGCTGTGATTTCGAATCGAGGTGAAAGATTTGGTTTTAAAGTCTTAGGTGTACACACATATGTTCTTATTGATTATATATTACAACTATTTAAAATTTGTAAGACCATTAGTATTTAAAGAAATAAATAAAAAAAATTTTTAGTTGTGTAAGCATATTTGAAAAATTGACAAGTATTCTGTATAGTAATATATACATACAAACCTGTGACTAATAAATTACATTGTGAATATTTAATAACAGTCAATCTTTACTATTGATATTTTATTTATTTATAAATACATATATTGCATGTAAATACATTATGTGGGACTTTGTATTATAGTTGGAAAATATATTTTAGTATTTTTTGGATATTAGACAAATAAATTTATATAATATATATTATTGTACACCTAATACATTATTAATACCTAACTAGTATAAAAAATACATACAGGTGTTTTCACATTTGAATATGAACAAAATGATAATTTAATTAAAGTTATAATTGTCAGTGAGATTTGAGACACCTGTATATATATTTCAATTCTATGTATAATTTTTGTTTTTTGTCTATTAATGATAAAAGACTGCACAATTAAAATTGTTTGTATTATTCTAGTTGTTTATTTAGCTCATATATAGAAGAAAATGGCAAGTATTTCTACACATCATATTAACATCACACATTTACTTTTTGGAAATTGTGATTGAATTTTTATCTTAAATTACTTTTGTAAAAATTTTCCAAAACATTAAAATTACCATAATGTTACGAGTCCATTTAGTACTCAAGGATCATGTTTAAGTTTAAGATTCTTGGTCAAAACCAAGAATCTTAAACTACTCAATGTCTGTGAAAATTGTCCTTATCTCCTTGAATGAGCTTTAATTACTGAATGAGACATTGGCTATTGCGTATATTAGTTTCTATTGAGAGATTATAAAATAAAGTTAAACTAATGTTTTATGTCAATGATGAAATTAAGTGATATTTTAAAAATGTCGTGTAAATAGAAGTAGGTATATCCAAGCGAGACTGAGTTGGTTGACTGATGATAATTCGCAAAAGACAAGTTATTTGACAAAATAAATAAGACACAAGTAATTGTATCAAAAACTATATCTATAATAGCCACTCAAGCATATCTGTCCTTAGCCTGTCATCAGTAGCCCTAAGCTACAGACAAGTATAATAACCACATCAGTATCTCTCTCTGTGCTTATTAAAGTTTATTATGAATTAAGTGAAAATACAATATGTAAAATACAAGTGGTAAGAACATAGTAATAAATGTTTTTGTATTAGGTAGGTTTGTTTTTAAATCTTGCAGGTGCATTTAAAAACTATAGAATATCATTACCAATAAAAAAAATCAGCACATTAAATTGCATATTCGATTCAAGTATAAATGGAAATTTGATAGTAATTATCATCACTGTCATAACAAAAACACTTAAATGTGAATCTTGAATTTCACACAAATTGTATATTTTTAATGTTACAATATCTAAGATTTAAAATTTTACTTAAATATTAAATGCTTGTTACATTATTTGCTTAATTGAACATTTTTTTGATTCGATGGCTGATTTCTTATAGAACAATTTCTTTTTTATATTGTACACTTCAAGAGCTTTAATTTGAAATTGGTTAAAATTTGTCAGATCGAGAATATTTTCAAAAATTGAGTTAAACAAATTTCTTTACATGTCTTGGTGGTCGTCTCTTTCAAACCCTGTACTGAAATTTTTTATCAATTGTTACAAAAAGCACACCAAAATAAAACTTATTGCCTCTAATATACTCTATTAGAACTGTTTGTATAGTGTTTAATAAAATGGTTGTATCAGTTTTGAAATTTAGAAAACTTCTTTGAAAATTAAGTTTTTGTACAATTGTGTGTGTAATTTAGATATATTTTTTTTACTTTCTAAAATCTATAGGTTATTTAAATGTTTAGCATTGTTAGGTTCAACTAAATTAAAATTTAGTTCTTTTGACATATTGATCATTAGAAACATAACCAATGAGAGATGAATTTTTATGGACAGACAAAAAAACACTATTCACAAAACTTCAGCTTCGCATCAAAGTTAAAAAATAAATATTAATTAGAAAAATCACAACAGATTTATTAAAAAAAAAAATATACTGGTAAATATAGAATGCTTACAACATAATATAACTTTCCCATTAAACTAAAAAGAATTTTAACTAAAATTCTTAAAAAAAATTTAAGTAGTATATAATGTTCTTATTTATTAATATACTTAAAATTAGAACCCTATTCAAATAATTGAATAAGTTGGAGTAGCTAAAATTAATTATTTTTTTTTTTAATTAGCTATCAGCCTTCTGGATTTATTTATAATTCATTTTTAATATCTTTCACATTTCCTGATCTATCAAAATTCTTGAGCTCATTTGTTGCCTTGGTAGAAATATATTTTATGAAGTCATTTACATCACGGCCTCCCTATAAAATCATAAATCTTAATTAGTATTCTTTTATAATGTATGTTATATAATGTTGATAGAGTGCCAGAATTAATTTTATTTAATTTTCTTATAAGTTCAAAAACCTTAAACTTATTTAAAACAAGAATTCTATACTGTGTTCAATAGTTATATTACATAAAAATGGGTTTATCTTCCTTGAGTAGTTCTAATTGCAAGATGGTAAATAATAAAATGATTACTTTTTCTATAAAAGTGCTATATAATAATATTAATACCTCATAACGAATAGGTTTGGTTTTGCTATCTTTAGGTAGCCAGTATAAAGTAGGAAAACCTCTAACATCAAATAATGGAGGAACATCATTAGCAGTTGCATCCATTTTAACAAGTGACACTGCTTCATCTTTTAACTAAATATTAAAACAGTAATTAGTGGTAAAACTAACAGTGATTATTGTAAAGAAATAATATTTTACATACTTTTTCTGCTACTTGTTCATATACTGGAGCTAAGCTTTTACAATGTCCACACCAAGGAGCATAAAATTCTACTAATGTATCTACTCCATTATTAATAACTATATCATCAAAATTTTTAGCAACAGCTACTTTAACAGGTGAACTATTGTCTTCAGGGATAGGTTCAGATTTAATATATGGTTCTAAATTTCCATTTTGGAAATCATTAATGAATTTTTCCAAGTTTTCAACCCTGTAGCATAAAACTTTCAAAGTACTAGTTAATAAAAATATCTATTATCTTAGAAAACTTACGAAAAATCATCTTTCATTATATACTTCTTGTTATCAAGGGATCGAGCAAGAACTATAGGCTTATCATCTGATACAAAATCTAAGCCATGTTCATTAATTTCATGTTGGAAATCATCCTTGTTATTGATTGCCATAGATACTCCTTTGACTGATTTGGCAACTTTAAGAACTCTATTACGCCAGTAGTTGGTTCCTTTAGGGTTCTTCCCATAGTCTACAGCATAATAAACACCAACATAAGGTGGTTTAAAGGCTTCCATATTTTCCTTTTGACGATGTCCAACTAAGCCATGACTAAAAATTTAATAGTTATATTTATCTACTTATATATATAAGATTGATATTTCTTACTAATTAGAATTAATCCATGATTCTAATGCAGACGTTGATTCTTCACCATTATAATCAATAAAATCAGGTTCAAATTTATTACTTAAATGTTTAGGTCTATAGAGTACAACATTGTTCCTGAATAAAGTAAAAAAAAACAATTTAATAATAAATTTTTATTTTTAATAGAAACATTAGTTTAATAAAATATTTAAAACTATTCTTTATATAGATTTTAGACTTCATTTATAGAAAAAAATTTTAACCCACTACAATTGCTTAATTTATTATACAATATAATTAAAAAAAAATTTATTAGAAGATAATTCTTTAATTTACATGTGTAGAATGGAAACTGAAAATTATATAAATTATAACAATTAATATCATTAAATGTATTGAAAAAAAAAATTTTTTAAAGCAATAATTGAAAATTAGTAGCTTACTTGTAATTGTACTTGTCTAACACAGGTGCAGAAGTACTATGACCAAAATTAACTTTTTCTCTTAATTTGTTAGCCAATTGAATAAACTTTCCTTTAAGGTCGGTTTCAGTTTGAAAGAATCCAACAACAGCAACATCATCCTTAGAAATAAATAATTCTAATGCTTCCAAAGTAGCAAGATCTTTTGAACTTGGTCCGACTTGAGATTTCATATACTTAACAATACCACCTATTATTTTAAGATGAAATAAAAGTTATATAGAAATTAATATAAATTTATTAGTTATTATTTTATATTTATGTTCAACGTTTCCTTTAAAAGCAAATACTTGAGCCAGAGAGGTTAAGAAAACCTATTAAGCCTAGTATAACAGAAACAAACCCCACTATCTTTGCTTTGAGGCCCAATGCATTACTAACTGAGTTTGATTGTTTGCCTAAATTATTAATAATCATTACACAAATGTTCTCTGAAAAATGTTAAAATTTAATAAGAACCATAATATTGTATACTTTAATATGAAATTCACAAATATCTTTTATCCAATATTGCTTTAATACATTGGAAATCTGACATGCGTAGAGTACCTCCCACTTAAAATCTAGAGTAAAAGTCTACTTATTGGAATACAACTAACCATCAAGTTCCAGCAGTGAACATGTCATCTAGTTTTTGTCCTACCATGTTTGTTAAATACTTCAAAATGTATGTAGTTTGACAGTTTTCACTTAAAATTATGCTAAACATGCACATATGAAGAATTTACAGAGAAGATGATAACATAGTAGAGTACAGTAAAGTACAAGTTTTTCTAACCAAAAATTTAATTAAAGCATAAATATATAATAAACTGAGAATAGCTGCTTCTACAGCCCCCTTTTAGGACCCATGTGTGGTGTTGAAAAATATAATTTCAGGTTTAACAAAAGTAACATTTAACCAAAACCCATAATATGAAACCTGCTAATATACTTTTTTATTTATAATAAAAAGGAAAATATATATCATCAAGATTAAATGTATAAAATTTGGATAAAAAACTAATTTTTACCATTATTATGCCACTATTATATAATTCTAAATATATATATACACATTTAGTGTTTAACAATTGATATGGTTTTAATTATTATGTGGTAATAAAAAACAATTAAATTTTTAGTTTAACATATTGTAATATAAGGCTATTAAAGTAATTCAATTCTCTAAAGTCTCTTACTTGCATCACGAGGTCCATTATATTCTTTAGACATCTCACCATTTCTGAAAATTTTCAAAGTTGGATAACCAGAAACACCAAATTTGTTACAAGTATCTTTACCAGCTTCAGTACAATCAACCTTTAAACAGCAATTAAATTATTATTTAATGGGTATTTTTAACAGCCTATATTTATATAATATTCAAAAACAGTTTAAAAAAAGTTAAGGATTTAAAAGAAAAAATTATATAAGAATAAAGTAGTTTCCATATCATGGAAATTATAATAACTGATAGAATTTAAGAAGAAATGTGAAGACTGTGACCTAGCCTAAGTTTGAAATTAAGAAATATAATATTTATTGATAATTCTAAAATATGGAACCAAAAATTATACAATGATAATATACTAAATTTATAAATATTTTTTTTAATAATATGTATTATCATAATTAATTTGATTCTTACTATTTAATTTAATTTTCATATTTGTAACTAAAAATAAAAATAATTCAAATTAATAAAATTTATATGCAACAAAATTGATTCATAATTTCAAAAATAAAATAATTTTTTTTATGTATTAATAATGAAAATATTTACAGATGAAATATCGTAAGTTGATAGTATTCATATGAAAGGCAATAAAAGGTTCTCAGAAAACAAAGACCCTCTTCAGAAAAACAATAAAAATAATTAATACATAGCCTAATTTTTTTTTTATTATTTTTATTCCTTTTTAAACTTAATGTTTTATCAACTTATAAAAAATATTATATTGAATGAACAACTTAAATCGAGCTTGAATGATATTTTTTTCATAAAAATACATTTAAATGTGTTTACAATGTTTTTCACATTATATTGATATTTAGACCATGTTTTGTATGGGGATTGCAATACATGTATACATATATCCAGGTTGTGTTTTACAAAAGACAAAATATTTTAACTAATAAATAATAAAAATACAAATGAAATTATCAACAGTGTTATTATAACTCACTCTGAATACTTGTCATATTAGTCAAAATAATCATGAAAATTTTAAATGGAAACATTTTTAATAGTGAAACTAATTTAATATTTTTTAGATTTGTTGATTTGTCCAATTATTTAAAAAATACAAGTTAGCTAAATATTTCTTATAATACTGTGATTAATGAATACTAAATTATGTTATAGAACAATATAAATTTATTTTCATATATAAATCAATATTTTTTAACAATTGCGATTAATTTTTTTGTAAAAGAATTTACCTTTGCCAAAGTCACTGGAGGATCTTCTGTCAGTAATGTTTTAGCAGCCTTTTCAAATTCAGGTTTTAGTTTTTTGCAATGACCACACCTAATATCATAATATTTAAAACTTTGTAAAATTATATTAAAAAATATTTTCCTTACCATGGGGCATAAAACATAACCAAAGATGTATCATATTCTGAGACTGATGATTCAAAATCCGAATCAGAAAGATCAAGTGCAGAATCAGCAAAAACAGAATGTAATAAAAATCCCGAGAATATTAAAATTCCCCGAGCGAGTTTCATTTTAAAAGTAAGTCTCTAAAAATAAATATAAAACTTTAAGGGCATATAAATCTAGAAAATAGTGTAATAATATATTTCAATTACAATTTTAACACAATGTATTAGTAGTGTGACTAAAAATTAAATAAACGACATATAGCAGCCGGTTCTGTAAAAGTACTTAATATTGTTTTTATTGTAGACGTGTATCATGGTTTTATGGCTATTTGCACTTGGCGATTTCTAATTGGTTGATTTGATTATCGGTAGATTGGTCACACTTACCGGCTTTCATAGAAGAAAAAGTTATGATTCAGTCTTTTTATTTATGAATTTTAAGGATCATTACCTTTTGTTCCAAAAAGTTCTTGTTTCAATTTCATTAACTATTTGTTGGCAAATAATTTTTTAATAATTCTGGTCTGGAAATATTTTCTTCGGAACCAGGGAAATTAGGTCTGTCATTACATACAATGAGTATTTTCCCGACCGTATATTTATACGCTAACATATAATATAATCTAATTACTAATATATTTTTAATAGTTATATAGAATAATTAATTAATATTTCTATTCAAAATGCTTATATGCTATTGTGTTCAATTATTCTAACCATCGTTAGTTAGTTATAATTTTAGTAGGAATTGAAATTGTAATTTAACATATACCATTAGTAACTAGAACAATTTATTTCAATAGGGGAATACTCAACATTTTTTTAATATACTTATTGAACAGATTCTAAAATCCTATTCCTAAAAATATTTATATTTAACAACATTTAAATCTTATCTTTAAAGAATAGCTTAAGTGAGATAAATGACAGCAACATCAATAATATATAAATAACGTATATTTAAGTCAACATTAAACTAAAGCACGATTAAATCAATAATTCACATATAACAATATTAAATTAACAAATTACCAATAAAATAAAAAGAACAGATATAATCAGAAAATAACCGGACTACAACGTCATTACTCAACGAAACACATTTCTTCACTACTGCTGGATCACTGGCCATATGGTTCCCACCACTAGATAATACAGAACACAGATTATAACATCTTAAAGGTTTTTAATTATAATATAATCAATGTTATATGTAAGGAGTATTCTAGTATCATAAATTTATTTTTGATCAATCTGAAATTTGTAAAATGCTGTTTAATGACACCAAGGCCTATTATTTGGGTTAAAAATTTTTGAGACTCGCAATTTAAATCCTATGAAATTTATAATTTTTTATCATACATTATGAGTTTTGATAAATAAAAGAAATGGTCTTGAGATACACTATACGACGTATAAATAAATCCAGGGCTTGGTAAACTTTAAATTCACATTCAAATTTTTGATGATCTTTATTTTCTTGGCACATATTAATTTTTTGGAGAAAAAATGTCTGATTTTTGTTGGCTATTAGAAGGACGGTTGATACGTCCTGTCGCCCTTGAATACAATGTACGCTGTGGACTCATACTTGTGATAAATATGTTACCTAATATTACAAAAAAAAAAAATTCCATACAATATTCTGACAGATTTTCGATCAATAAATATTTTCATTATATTTGTATTATTATTTACGTGTAAAAATGTACATAGTAAAATTAAAATTTAGGTCTCATCCGTCAATGTTTTTACAAATTCAGATAAGCAAATACTAAAAGTATCCAGTCGCGTCGATAACAAAGTATAGAATTATTGGTTTTAATCGTTGTTGAGAGAGCAGTTGAAAAATGACGGTAAACGTTTGCCGCCGCTCAGCAGGAAATTCGTTATATTATAAATGCCATTAGGAAGCACCATGTCGATAGATAAAAAATTACTTTTTTGCATACAAACTGTTATGCGCGAGACAACTTTTATCTAACTATATTGGCAATAACATCTTTGATTTTTAAACAAATTATAAAGAAAGTTATCACTGATAACTTTCTTTGATCTTTCGTTTATATAATTTTGATAATGCAACTCTTAATCTATTTATTGAACATTTGAAAAACTAAAAAAATAGGAATGTTAAATAGTGAATATAAAATACTAGAAATAATTTTAACGAAAAAATGAAAACGCTAAATCCTATATAATTTTCTACATTATCATTTCGCAAACATTTTGGGACTCTGGCGTCAATGCAAAGTAGACAAAGTTGCCCCACGTAAGACATGTTCAAGAACGTTTTGTTCTTTTAAGGCATTCCCTCTGAGCGCCCTCTATAAATGAATCTAAAAGATAATGTTTTATCATTAATATACCAATTGTGGTAACGACTTTATTATTAACGGAAATTATTTAAGCCATTCTAACTTAGAATGCTTAAATTGTGACTCGTAACTTTGCTTAATAAAATTATTGTTATGTTGTATAAATTAAATATTAATTTTACTTTCTTATTTCTTTGATTTGTTTTTTAATATACTCAATACATTTTTTTTAATTTTATGATTTTTTGAATTGTAATGAATTTGAAAAACAATTGTTAGTTACACTTATTAGACCATAAACAGTGCATAGATTCTATGACAATATTGAATTTGTCGATCAATTAATTTTTTTGTAATAAAGCGAAACAACATTCTCATCGAAATAATGGATTGTCATTCATCAAATTTGCTATCTATTTGGAGTGATCTAGCAAAATTGACTCAAAATTGTGTTACAGAAATAAAGAAATGTTTAGAAGTAAGATTATTTTTATATTTCTTTTTGTTGGATTACTATTGTGTTAATTTTTGAAAGCTTATATTTTATAGTTAAAGTGAACAATTATTCATAGTATAATATATAATTTATTTATATAAGATAATTTTTAGTGTAATACACAGCACTTTATTAGGTACTAGATGAAAATTTCATTGTAATGTTGAACAACTGTGTAAAATTTATATTTGTTGATTAAACATTTTTATTTTTTATAAAACATTTTATTATTTTATCTCAATTTTAAGTCAATAAAAATGATTAAACAATTAATTAAAATTTATAACAGTTTTGGGACTATTCATTAGTCTACTCTTTACAGTTGGGGAATTGCTCACAATCAATTTACCTATGTGTACTTTATGTGAACAAATATCTGAAATAAAAAAAAAAATTGTTTGATCATTAACATAAATAAAGCTAAATACAGTACAAAATAATTATAAGTTCATTAATCAAAGCTGTATTAGTAATCAAAATAGTTTCAGTTTTTGAAAATTTTTCTTATATCAAGTAAATTAGTTCATCTACAGAGTAATTAAAATATAGTAAGACACTGATTTTCTCAGAAACTATTGAGAATTTTTAATTTTTGTATAGAAAAAAAATATTAGGTTTAAAAAATTACAAAAATATGTAGATAATCATATTTTTTTAGCTTCGATGCGAAGCTGAGAAGGTATTAATTTTACCATGATGTGTTTTTTTTTTTTTTTTTTTTTTTTTTTTGTCTGTCACTACTTTTTCTCAGCTCTCACTGGACCGATTTCTTTTAACAATACGTCAAAAGATCACAAATTGTATCTAGTTGAAGACATTACCCTTAAAAATTTAAAAATTTTCCCTCGTTCCCCGCAAATGGGGGAAATATCCAAAAAAATTACAAATTTAAAAATCGACAAATTTTGTCATTTTTTTCACTTTTTTTTCTTAAAACTTCCATAACTTTTTCAAAAATCAACAAATCAACATAATTTTTTTTTAAACTAAAACCTTAGATATTTTCCTTTCATTTGATATAATTTTTTTGAAAATTTAACACTTAACCTGCTCATGGGGGGGGATTTAAAATTGCAACTTTTTTACAAAAACTAACTTTTTCAACTTAATTTTTGAAAATGTTCCGGAAATACTGCGTCCTTTAAACATATATCAAATTAAAGCTTATTTTATGTACTATAAAATGAAAAAAAAAAATTTGTCCCGACACTTTATCTTCTGCATGTAAACGGTTGCCGTAGTTAAAAAAACACTATTTTTGTGTTAAAATTTTCGATTTTCAATTTTTAATTTTCAACTTAAAAATGCTATAACTTTTCGAAAAATGCATGTATCAGCACAATTTTTTTTTTTCTAAATACATTATAAGTACATCTTCCATTTGACATACTTTTTATTAAAATTAGACAATTTCCCCTTATATAGGGGGGGTTCAAACTTTGAAACATTGTATAAAAAATAGAACTTTTTCAACTGAACTTTTGAAAATGTTCCGGAAATACTGCGTCCTTTAAACATATATCAAATTAAAGCTTTTTTTATGTACTATAAAATGAAAAAAAAAAATTTGTCCCGACACCTTATCTTCTATGTGCAAATGGCTGTCGAAATTATAAAAAAAATGTAATATTTGCGATAAAAATCACCTTTTATAACGATGTTTTTTGTACTTAAAACTGCCATAACTTTTTCAAATATTAACTAATCAAAATAATATTTCTTTATATTGAAACCTTAGGTAATTTTCTTTCATTTGATATCATTTTTTTTTGAAAATCTAACACTTATTCTGCTCACAGGGGGGATTTAAAATAGCAACTTTTTTACAAAAACTAACTTTTTCAACTTAATTTTTGAAAATGTTCCGGAAATACTGCGTCCTTTAAACATATATCAAATTAAAGCTTATTTTATGTACTACTAAATGAAAAAAAAAAATTTGTCCCGACGACCTATCTTCTATGCGCAAAAGGCTACCGTATTTAAAAATATGCTATTTTTTATTAAAATTCTAGGTTTTGTATTTTATTTTATTTTAAAATATTTTATTAGGGGAATAAACTGACTTTCATGAATATTATATAATTTCATTGACATAGAATAAAGTTCATAAGACATATGATATTATACTTATTAACATTTTTTACTTTTTTAAAGTCGAAAAAGTAATTTTTAAATTTGAGTTAGCTTAAATAGCCAATTTTATCATGCAACAAAAATCAACGAATAGTTGCCGAATGGGTAACACCTTGATCTTTAACGCCTAGGGTACGAGGTTCAAATCCGTTTGTGGCTTCTAAAATTTTGCATTTTTTTTTTGAGTTAGAATAGAATTTTCAAATCATTTGATATTTATCTCATTTAGATTCAATAATTTCAATAAATATAAAGGATCTTATCACTATAGTCTCCCCTCGTGAGAAGAAATTGATATTCATGTTAATATTATTTTACTATGTGGTTCTTTTTCTGGCTACGATTTATTTTGCCAACCCTCACTAGACCTACTTTTTTCAACGATACGTCAAATGATTCATTTAAGTTTATGATATTTAAGTTAATGATTAGTTTAAGTTATTACTCTTAAAAATCAAAAAAATATTCCTTATTCAAATAAAAAGTAGCTTAACTAGATTTGTCCATACAAACAATTAAAATCATTAATTTTTAATATTCTTAAATTATTTATTGTCGAATTAAATTTGATATGATAAAAGTATTCAACTACAAAAGTAAATAATTTTACTTTATAATTTATTAATTTTTTAACTCTATTTCTGTGTGCTACTACCAGTCTATAATATGCCAAATTTTTTAGTAATATTTTGCTATATAAATCATAAATTTAAAAAAAAAATGATTTTTAGTTTCACCTGAAGTTAACGATGGAGTTTTACAATTATAATTATATTTTTGATAATATGCTCAATTGAGTAAATCTTTTTAACTACTTTGGTTTGATTGGTTCATTTAATTAAAGTAAATTATTAAAATTAATTAAGTTCTGAATATTTCAATTGCAGAATTTTTTTAAACACCAAAAGTTATTAGGATATGATTACTATTCTTTCTATTTCAGTTATCTATTACGATAAAAATGTAAAAAAATCGAATTTTTCTGACAAATGTACTGTAATTAGTAATTATAAAATTTCCAGATTGCATATTAATCTTAAAAATTTCATTTTTTTCAATTTAATAATGTCAATTTCAAACTTGCAAGTTGAACTATAAGTTATGGTAACAAATTCATTTTTTAGCTTCGATGCGAAGCTGAGAAGGTATTTTTCATTAAAACTTTCACTTTAAAAGACAATAAAAAATAGGTTCAAAATGATTACCTTTAACATATTAAAAATCAAAATCAGTATTAATTTAATACAATTTTTTTTGTTCTTAATTATTTTTTTTTATATGTAAATACTTATTTTTTAATAATAAGTAATAATATTAAAACTTAGAAGTAATAGAAAAAGTTTAATTGCACATTTGAAAACATCACGAAAAGTTTATTTAGAAAAGTATATTTTTTTTCTGATGAAAGTTCCTTTTGTTTAGTGTATTTATTCATAAGTAACAAAATTTTTTTATTAAAAAGTATTGCATAAATTCCTTTAAATTTGTATACGCATTAAAAGTATATGAATATACAACTCCTTTTTATTTTTATAATATCTCCGTAAAAATTACAATATTATATTATTGAATACCACTTTCATACTCAATTTAATTACTGTAATTATTATGTATTCATATATTATAGTTATAAATCGGGGTAAAATTAAGGGAATAAGTGTTATTGTTGTTTTTGAAATAATCTACCAATTTCATTTTTTTCTATTTAATAATATTTATTTCAAACTTGCAAGTTGAGTTAAAAGTTATGGTAATAAATTCATTTTTTTTTTATTAAAACTTTCACTTTAAAGAACAAAAAGAAGTAGGTTCAAAATGATTACTTTTAACATATTAAAAATCAATAATAATTTGAAAATAATTAATTATAAAAATTATATAATATATAATTAAAATAATTACTAATCTGGATATAATTAAGGAAATAGGAGTTGATGTTGGGTTGGGTTGGTTACATTTTTAACTTTATAATGCTATAACTCATTGAAAAGTGTACGAATCAACACAATTTTTTTATGAGAAATAATATTTTTTAATAATCCCTTTTTCATTCGACATACTTTATCTTAATCAGGGTATTAATAAGAAACTAGCAGATAATGTAGCTTTTGTAATTATCCACCAATTTCTTATAATTTAACACTATCTACTGATTTGCATCGAAGCGTTTCTTATGATAGTGATTTTAATCACTGTCAGATTAAATCTATACTGGACCCAACTATGCAACATCCCCACTATGCCGCGACCCCACTGTGCTGGGTTTTTTTTTTAATACATCAGGGATAAAAATGTATTCTTTTATTTTTAGATACATGTTCCAAATCCTGTGTACGAGTATCTCTGATTATCCAAATTGTACAAAGCTTAGTCTATATTTTTTTTTCTGTTATTATTTTACCCTGATTGATAAACTAGTCGAATATACTAATAAATTGCATTAGACCAACTTTATAAAAACACACACACACAAATAATAATATTGTATGATTTTAGGAACAAACATTGAAATTAGATGTGGTTTATAATGATTGCTTATCAGTAGCTCAAAAAGATCCAATGTTATATGTGCCTAATGTCAAAACATCTAAAAGACAATCTAGTATGTAATTTATTTTTATATATAAAATAAGAATTATTTAATGAATATAATACTTATTCAAGACTAAATTAGATTGTGATTTATCAAAATTTCTATAAATTGATTATGAGAATTAATCTTAATAAGTTATGAGATGAGAAAAATTAAAATACAATTAAACATTTTTTAAAACTTTTAGAATTTAAAAATTCTCAGAGTGATGACACTTATTCTAGTGATCCAAGTTTTCAACAACCAGCAGTTCCACCAGTTCGTAAAACTAGAAAGCAAACCTCCATTGTATGTTTAATTTTATGACACACCAATAAAGTCTTATTAAATTACAAATTTTTTTATAGGCTGCTTCTGATAAAACAAAAAATTTAAGAGAATCTGCAACAATTAGTTCAGGACCATCAACAAGTAATTATTGTATTTTATCAAAGAAAAATTATGCTGAGATCTTTCATTTGTATTATAAAATAACCATTCCACATTTATTGAACAGTCATTTAGTCATTTACTCTTAATAAAAAATATACATTTTCATTACATTATTTCTTGTTTAATTATGATTATAGGAGCTAGTAGAGCAAGAGCATTATCAACATTAATGGATATCACACAAATAGATTGCCCTAGAGCTAATTCGACTTTTGCTGAAATTAAGAAATTTTCGAATAATGATGAACTATTATCCCCTCAATTATTTTCTCCCGAAGAAAAAAACAAAACATATTTAAAAAAAGTCAATCCAAATGAAACATATAAATTGACTGACTCAGATGACATTAAACAGTCAATAATAATAAAAAAAGACAATGATTGTAATATGTCTAAAAAGTCTAATAAAAGTTCAAAACAAGCAGAATTCAATAGCATTAACTCAACTAGTGAAAAGTAAATATTATAACATTAGCATTTGTTTACTACGTAATAAAATACCAACAAAAATCCTCGATCCTAATTTAAATTAAAAAATAATTATTTTCTTAATAATAATTTACATATCATATATTTGATAGGTACTATATTATACACTAGTTTTTCACTAAAAAAAGAATCAATAAGTGTAATTTATGATAAATCTGTCTATTATCCTTTATAAATTTCATAATTATGACTCACAAGGATATATTTAAGTTCAGTGTACTATACATTAATATGATATCATTAAATTTTAAAGCAAACATAAGTTGTCAAAAAATGAAAATAAACGTGAAAAAGTTGACAACACTGATAGTAAAGAAGAAGAAAGCTCACTACATATGACCAGAACAAAAAAAAGAAAATTAGAAGAAGAAAAACAAAATAACAGTAATATTATACGAGTTCCATTAGAAAAACAAGTTTCCAATTTTCTAAAACCCACAGATGTGATTTTCAAAAATAAAGGGAATGAAGCTGAAAAAAGGAAAGAAATGTACCTTAAAAGCAAAGCTGATCAGACGTATGTATTTTTAAATGTATTGATTATTCATTACAACATAATATATCATTTGAAATGTTTAAATTTATGGAAATTAATTTTTTTATTTCATAATTAAAAATATATTAAAGGTCAATTTTTTAAGATAATTAGAATAAGTATATTTTAATATTTTATTTTACAATAAAAATTAAGTTAATTATTTTAAAAATAATTGTTAAATTTAATAAAACCTTTTGATTTTAAATATTTGCTATTAAATATTTACATTTGATTTTATATAGTAACTTCTAATTAAATATAATATAAAATATCTTAATTAAAAAAATTTAATTAAGATATTATTTATTATTATTTTAGAAAATTTGATGAACTACATTTAAAAGTTATAAAACAACGTGAGGAACAAATTAAACGTGCTGAAGAAAAAATGAAAAAAATAGCAGAAGAGAAGAAAAGAAAAGAAGATAAACAAAAAGAAAAAGAATTGAAAATGAAAGAGGAAGCATTGAAAAAACAAAAGCAAACAGAAATTCGTTTAGCCGAAATAAATGCTAAACGTAAACGAGCTGAAGAGGCAAAACTGATGAAATTGGTATGTATCTCTATCTTATCTCTATCATATTTCTAATTTTATTGATTTTTTTAAAATAATACTGTAGCAAAAATCAGAAGCTGATCGCTTGTTAAAACTTAAAGACAATGAAATGAAAAAGTTAGTAAGCTATTTAAAATAATTTTTGTATTTCATAAAAATTACATTTTAATTTTTATTTAATACTTAGAATAGAAAATAGTAATACTCCACAAGCTAAAATAATGAGCTCAAATTTGTCTTCTACAACTACCACTACAAATTCTAAACCTGATGTAATTTTGGTAAAATCGAAAATAAATCAGGTAAGTTATTTACTATAATATTATTTTATAATTTAACTAAACTTCATAAAAATTAAATGATCCATTTATGAAAAAACCAAATACAACTATTACCATGTATTATTTAGTATTAAGCTAGTCCACATCTTACATATTTGTTGAATATGATGAATCATCATAAAAGATTCATCATATACAACAAATACATATGATGTATTAAAGATATAATGAAAAAGTCTTATGTCCAAACAAATTTTTTTTCTTGATGAATAAGCTTATTATTAGTAGAATAATAATTAGCCAATATTTATTTAGTATGCCAATAATTGATGTTTTTATCCTACTCCTTTTCCAATTGGATCACCTAAATATTATACATATTTATGATAAAGTTTTGTTACTATTTATGTAACAATTCAAGAACTTGAATTTAAATATAAATTTATTTTATTTTATGAAATTTTAACAATCAATTTTAAACTTTTTATTCAAGATAAAAAAACTTGCTGCAAGTGATGATTATGGTTTAAATGATATATCTGCTCGTGATTCTTCTGAAGATGAATCTGGCCCAAAAAAGCCAGTTCCTGATTGGGCCAAACGTAAATATTCTTTTATATATATCAAAATTATCAAAAATAAAAATTGAATTGTTTACTTTCATTCAATGTATAAATAATAATTGAGGTAATTTCAAAAAAAAAAAAATTTTATTTAAATAAATGCTGCAATAACAATGGCCATGTATGTATGAAAAAAAATTGAGTATTAAATTATATCATAACTTAATTCATTATAATTTACATATTATTTTATTCTATATTATAGAATAAAAAAAAATATTCTGTAAATTACATAGGGGTCATATAATTTTCATTAGTTTGGTTGTTTTTAGAAAGTTAATCATTTTTTAAATGGCATTATGTTCTTGTTTGAGCAATTCAGTTAAGTGATTAGATTTTTGCAAAGAAGCTGTGCTGACATGTGACCATTGTTTGGATTGCCCTAGAGAGGCAGACAATGCTCTACAAACCCCCTTTTAGAACAAGGTATGGGTCTAGGAGCAGGATTCTTTAGAGACTTAACTAGTGTCCATGTTTTGAATCTAGTCGATGGTGGATCTGTTGTTATTGAGCTAAGGCGTTGTCTCTAATCCAGACGTTTACCAAAGAGGTCAAAATCTTATAGAATCGAGCAAAAGTCTAACAAGCAGATTATTAATGCATTATTTATCCATTTTAAATTTCTCTTGGGCTAAGTTGATTTTTGATCTATACAGGGGAATTTATTAAATTTTGTAAACTTTATTTTATTAAGTAAATTTTGAAAATTTCACAAAAAATATTCTAAATTAGATATTGTTACTATATATACTAAACACAATCTGCACAAACAATTTTTTCACAATAAATATTTCGGTTGTATTATTTTCTAAGATATAGAGTAAACTGGGATAAAATATCATTATTCCAGGATTCTGGTTGAATAGGTTGGGGATTTTAGCAGTCCTGCCATCTAGGATCCAGTGGATTCTATTTATCAAGCTTAACAGAGAGGCGCTTGCGTCGGCCGCTACCAGTCCAAGGTTGTTTTGGCAACATTGGTAAATCGAGGAATTTGGAAGCCCAAGCTGTTGGTTAAGCGTCCAGGTTCTTGGTGTCGGACTTGGTTGGGCTTGGTTTCAATGCTTGTTAGTCACATGGGGTCGCGTTATTCCAACATGCGCGCATGACCCTTAAATTTGGGCAGAGGGTCACGCTCTGATCCCAGCTACGGTTCTTTGTTCTCACTTTGTGAATAGAAGGGCGCAGTAGTGCTCTGCTTATACCCTAAAATTTACAGCTAGAGAGCAGTTTTGGTGATGGGCCTCTGCGAACCCACTCTATTAACGAATGGTTAATAAATATTAAATCTTAAACTATTTTTACAATTTATTTTATTTATAACAAAATCATTGAGCTAAAATTATTTATAAATTATTAAATTTTTCATACTTTTATGTTATAATTTTACTCTTTATGAATACCATTTTAAGTTTATAAAATAATTTTATAAGACATGATTTTTTTGTTTGGATGTATAATATTTTTAATAATCAATATTGAGTAATGACATATGACATAATTTATTTTGGCATACAGTTAAAAAATAAAATTTTATTTGAGGTAAAACATAGATCCAAAAGAAAACATTAATACTTATTTTAAAATAAATAAGATTTATATATTTTATTGAATTTAAATAATTAATCCAATCATTCTTACTTCAATTTTTTTGTAATTGACTTATTTATTAAAATATTATTTTTAAGAAAAAAAAATTATTTTTGATTAGCTATTCTAATCTTTCCATTCTATGATTAAATATTATGATATATAATTATATAATATTCTTGAATTACAAAATTACTAAATACAATAAGCTTTGTAATTTTTTGTTATTTCTATTAAAAAGTGTTAAGTTTATTAATTTGTTAATTAAAATTTGCTCCATACTGGCTGGACTCTTATCCTATCAATGTTGTAAGAGTACTCTTATTATATTTTTCAATTTATTTCAGTTCATTTCTTATTAAATAAAGTTCAAATCTTACTACTTTATACTTAATTTGTATTTTTTGATAGTTTGTCTAGCTAAAAAAAAAATTCTTTATGACTAATTTATACTACAAGTTATATTCAATAGAAAAAAATTGCACACTTTATCATAAAATCTAGACATAAAATTGGTCTTAATAATAAAAAAAATTATCTTTATATACTTATAAAGGATATTATATTTCACTTAAATTATTTCTAATAACAGCTGAAAATTTTAATTTTCATCTTTTAAATCTTTTTATTTTATACATTTTAGGATCCAATAGAAAAATAACTCTTGAACTTCAATATATAGTTGATACTAAAATAAGGGATTCATTTTTTGACTGCCCTAAACAATTTAGCCTTAAAGAAATGTTTCAAGGCTGGAATATTCGAGACCGTCAACGAACATCGAGTGCTGTTTGGAATACTCCTGTAAGGTATAGTGAATATTTGCGTAGACATTAATTTTTTTAATAAAAAACTTAAAATATATCACTTGATTTTATGACATTTTGTATGACCTATTGTATTTTAATTCTTTCTCAATGTGCTGTATTTTTACATATTTTCTTGAATTTTTTACATTTATAATAATAATAATAATAATTTTGTATAATCAATTGATAATTAAATTTTAAATTAATTTTTAATGTATCTTAAGTAATATTCATAGATCACTTTCAAAAATATGTGAAATTTTGTTGGTTATTATTAATAAGGTCAAATTTGTAGTAATAATTCTGTCGTAAATCATTCATAATAAATATAAGATTAAATTGTTCATGGTTAAACAATAATAATAATGATATTGTTTTTACTAACTTTAACTCTAAGAGTTTACATGAAATAATAGTTTCCATTGATTATAAACACTTAGAAACCATAAATTTAATACTTTCATAAAGTGAGTTTTAGATTAAGGCTTTAGATTAAGCACTCAAAAAAGTATCTATTTTTATATAAGAATTTTTTTTTTAATGAGGTGAAGTATTAAATTTTCTTGATATAATGAGGAACAAAAGTTACATTAACTATAATAACATTATATTAAAATATATATTATATATTTTTTGAAGTAATAAAATAGAGCAATGTTTCTTATATTGATTTAAAACTCATAAAATAGTTGGTTAAAACAATTTGGTTTTTTATTTGTTAAATAAATTTTGATTTATTACCTATTAATTTATTTATAAAAAGGGTAAAATTCATATAGTTAAAATTCTTAGTGTTAGTTGAAATATTAATATTTAAAATTGATACTCGCATATCAATTAAGTAAGTGTATTGCATAAAAATTAAAAAAGAATTAAAATAAAGTTCTAAAAATAATAACATTTTGGACTACACTTTTAATAGAAAAACTATTTTTATAAGGGATGAAATGATATATTATTATGCACAATAAGTACGCACCAAAGAAATCTATTAAACCGCTTTTACGGAGATTATTTGGGAAGAAATTTCATTTTTTAAATCATCAAAGCAGTGTAATTATATTTCCAGATATATAAATTTTAATTAAAATTTACATAAATAAATTATTTATTGTTAATTCATTCATTAATTTTACGTAAACCACGAATAAATGATACATCCATTTTATTATACTTTGTAGGAAATCTATTTTGTTATAATTATAAGTGTTTGTTTTATAAATTTTTGATCGTGAAAATTAATATATTACGTCGTATATTGATTTTTTTTGCTGCATATTTTGTAGATATTGTTATCAATGTAATCTTCGTTGTTGTTGCTAATGTCTTGTTGACCCTCTTGCCATTCGAGAACTCCACTTAATAAACGAATATACCTTTATAATTAACAATAAAATCTAATAAAATAATAGTTAGTGTTACAACTGATATGTAAAAAAATTTACAGTACATTTTTATATGGAATAAATTAAAATAATTCTGATTTATAAAAATATTCAACATAAATTATCAATTATAGTTAATTGAATATAACAAATATAAATATAATTGAAGTCAATTAAACAATTTTAGTTAAAAATATTATATTATTTATTAATTGTAGACATAAAATATTTATACTATCATTTAAACATTTTTATAACGAAAAAATATAACATTTAAAATTAAAATATTTTATAAAACAAATTTTATTTAATCAAGTCTTTCTTTTTATAATTGACATTTTTGTTCTTATATGTAGGCACGTAGACATGGGTGGGCCGGCCCCCCTTAGATTTAATGTGGCCCCGTGCCGGCCCCCCCCAAATTTAAAATTCAATTATTTTTACGAATTATCAAAAACGTGCTAGGCTTTATATACATTGAAATTATTATTAATTTGTCATTTCAATTGAATAATAGTTATTATTATGGCTGTATTTTTAGTTTTATATTCATAAAAAACGTTATTTGAAAAAGATAACGTTCTAGACGTAATAATAAATGGAATAGTAGTTACTCCAAACGTGGTTGTAGATAAATTTTTTTTAACTCTGGTCCAACAAATAATAACAAACTACCAAGTATCTGCATTGATTAGAATCTAGTTGATTACAAAATTCGATAGAGTATACTCTATGAAAAATTGTTTGATAAATCTTATCTTTAATTTGTTTCTTTTTTTATAATTTAGTTTACAATAGGTAATTTATTTGTTTTTGTTAATTTGTTATTTGCGTGCTCTAAATAATAGTAATAAAAATATGACTAAAAAAAGGCAGGCATTGTTTTTAATTTTAAATAAAATAAATTTTACATTATTTATAATTTATATTTATTTTTAAAATTATTATAACTTATTTGTTATTAGTATTTAGGTATAAATGATTTTTTCTTAATAGCTTAAAAGTTGAAAAATGAAATCAGCTTATGTTCACGTCATTATTTTATTAGCTTCGATGCAAAGCTGAGAAGGTATTGGTTTTACTATGATGTGTTTTTTTATTTTTTTTTTTTTGTGTCTGTTACCACTTTTTCTCAGCTCTCACCGAATCGATTTCAATGATACGTCAAAAGATCACAAATCGTATCTAATCGAAGACATTACCCTCAAAAATTGAAAAAATTTCCTTCGTTCCCGGTCAATGGGGGAAACCCCACAAAAAATTACAAATTTAAAAATCGTTAATTTTCGAAATTTTTTTTACTTAAAATTGCCATAACTTTTTTATATAGATGCATGATATCGTTACTTTTCATTTGACATATTTTTTTTATAAATTTGACCCTTTACCTGCCCACGGGGAGGATTTAAAATGACAACTTTTTCACAAAAAATTAACTTTTTTCACTTAAATTTTTAAAATGTTCCGGAAAGTTTGACACTTTTATCTATATCGTAAATTAAAACTAATGTAATGTACTTTTTTATTTAAAAAAATTTCGGACTTTATTTTGTCTTCACGGTGTAAATGGCTACCGAATGCTATTTTTGTGTGAAAATCCTCGATTTTGTATTTTACATTTTTAACTTTATAATGCTATAACTTTTTGAAAAATGTCTGGATCATGACAATTTTTTTATGAGAAATAATATTTTTTAATAATCCCTTTTTCATTTGACATACTTTATCTTAATCAGGATATTAATAAAGAAATAGCAGATCATGTAACTTTTGGAATAATCCACCATCTTTTTAAACATAAACACAAATTTTGAACTTGTAAGATTCATAGAATGGGATACTGTCTAAGGAGGAGTGGAGGGAGCCCCCCAGAAGCTTTTCATGGGAAACAAATTATGGAAAATGATACAATTTCTATTAGTTCATGAATTCACCTTTCAATTATTTTATTAGCGATTATATTCAAAGTTTCATTCATAATCATATTTTGTAATTTATACATTGATAATTTGCTATAATATGGACGAAAATATAGTCTTTCATTTTCGACAAATTAATTTATGTTATAGGTATTTATTTTTTTTTGTAGCACTAAATGTATAATATACATTTAAGTGTATATTATAAAATTATTACTATATTATAATAAATACCGTATAATTTTCGAAAAATCAAATAAATAAATAATATTTATCATAGTCAATAAAAAAAAATAGAAACCTTTAAACGGCTCACATTTCAAATGATGAATTGAGTTACAAATATTATGTTGATGAACTTACTTGATTGCCATTCTTAAAATTTCATTTTTCGATAACTTTTTATCGTGTGGATGAGTGGGAACAAGTTTTCGGAGCTCAGCAAAAGCGCCAGTCACATTATGCTGTCTCCAACGTTCTCTAGAATTGGTGACCGTATAAGGCTTTCGAGAATCAGTTATCGCGAATCGTCGAATACTCATCGATTGGTTGCTTGACGAGGGATCTTCATCACCGGACGTCAAATCGTCTGATGTCAGTTCACATTCTTCATCGGATCCAAACAAAACAGCCACACGTGATGACGACGATTCGTCTTTTGATTCATTAGATAACTGTTGTAATTGTGTATGTTGATTTTTAATCATATTTACTTAATAAAAAAGTAACATTCGAGTGTTTCTAATTTACAAGCTGAAAAATACGTTTTGTTTGTTGTACAATATATAACCAATAGTAACATTCAATTAATGTGGTTCGTAAATTATATTATATATTTTAAAACAAATGTGTTTTTTTGTCGCAATAAAGCCGCTGATATATAAATTATAATTTATTAAATATAAAAACAACTTTAATATAATAAATCTTTATACAATAACTTTCCTAAAAAATAATATTTTTAAAACACTTTTGTATAATATATATATAGATTATTAATGTTCGAACATAATTTATCTATTAATTTAAGATATTTTCTTATAAATTCTAATTAGTTCTGACAAGAGTTTCTGTGGATCCCGAAATATTATTTGATCATCAAAAGACTATTTGCTTAAAAATTAAATTTTCAATATTTACTTTAACGCAATTTTAATTTAGATAAGACCTTAAGACAATCATCTGGGCCAGATGATCTGGCTCAAATTGCCCTAATGTCAGACCTGTTATAATAGTGGCGAATCAATCGAAGAATAAGTGAAATTAGCATTGAAGTAAATTGTTAATATCAATCTCAACTTAAAATTTTTAAGTTACATTATATAATGCACACGCAGCAAAATCATGGAAATTCTAAAGAGTTTACTGAAACACCTAGTTATTTAAAAATATCTACCATGTCGAAGGTTTTGCATTAAATAAGTTTATCCATAATTATTTCACATTCAATTATGAAATTTATCACTAGCACAAAATATATCTTTAAAATAAAAACGAATCCATATACTCGCAACAGAAAAGTTCTCTTTGCATGATGTAACACTATAATTAATATAATGATAATTAAAACATTAAATCAGCATAATCATTTTATATTATTTTAATTAAAAATAAATACGCGCTATAAAAGTTGATATATACTTTTCTAATTCAGAGAGCATATTATATTAGAGCCTGAATTATATTTATAATCAATTATAAATAAATGTATTTCAGGTTAGAAATTTGAGAATTCCGCTCCTAAGACCAGTAAAACGAAAAAAATATTATGCATTCATGAAAAAACTTAAACCATTCAATCATAATCTATGCACTCATCTAATACTAGACCCTCGATAATTTATTGATAAATTAGATTGAAATTTCATAAAATTACTACTCACCTCAATTTGAACGCTAAAAGTTATTCAACTGAATTTGTATTTTAAATAAAAAAATTCAAGTGACAGTATTAACTTTACGTTAGAAATACTTGTATCCTGAAAATAAACTGTGATAAAAAAATAAAAAAGGAGCGTAAAGATTTTCAAGCGACGAGGGTGAACTAGGACCACCCTTTTATACCTTAGCAACCAATCAGTGATCACATTTCGTTGCTATCCTCTGAATGTGACCACCCATTGATACTTTATTATCTCTTAAGTAAAGCTATTATTATAAAGCGATTGTTAAAGTATATTGAAAAATATTATAGATTTAAATAACGTTCTAAAAATAAAATAAAAAATTATTGTATATATATAGTCAAAAAAAAAAATTTGCTACCAAAATCCCTAATCAATGTTTTCAAGTTAAATTTCTAGAGTATTTCATTCTTTGTTAAGATTAAAATTTTTGTTGTATGTTTTATAGTATCGAACGATAATTACTTATAGAGAAAATAATATACAATAATTTTATGCTAATTTTACATGTAGGCTTTAATTTATTTTCTTAGTACTTAGAATTTTTCATTTTTATGAACTAGCTTTTTAAATAATTACAAAAAATGTAATTAATAAATTATATTGGAAAAAAATTAGGGCTACATATTTTTTAACAAGTACAATCAAGTTAACTTGTTATATTGTACTTACACTTGAAATAATAATAAGATTAGTATTAGAATAGCCGCAAATAGTAAATTTTTAATACCATATAGTTGTTATTGATGTATACACAGGTATAAATAAAAAACCTGACTGCTAACTTTTAAGTTAGTTGCAGAGGTGAACCGGCACATTTTTCTAGGGGTCGTACTCCCAAAGAAAAACCTCAATCAATTTTGATAGAGAAATTTTATCAAGGGTGTATGATAATGTTTTATTAATACGAACAAAATAACTATTCTTATGAATAATTATTGTTCAAGACAAAAAAAAAAATTATCATAGGTTCAATAGTAATGATATATTTATCAAATTGAACAATGAATTTATTATATAGATCGAGGTTTTTCTCTGGGTGTATATTTCATAAATTTTGCCGAGTCATGATTTTTATCAGTTAAAAACTTTTTTTTTTAGTTGCAAAATTTTTTTATAGGAATAAAACAATCAAAAGTATACAATAACAAATTTTTTTCTTTAATTAGTTTTTATTTGAAAGCTCTAATTATACTGATTATAAACGTCATTTATAACGTTCACCATTGGTTAGACGCTCCGTCAAAAATACTATTATTAATATTTTCACTTCGCTTTAATTCAAGCAATGATAATATTCATGAAAAAATTACAGTTTACAACCACATTTAGAGTGAAAATATTAAAGTTAATATTTTTATTATCTTTTTTTATAATATAATTATCGTTTGATACTATAAAACATTAATGAAAAAATAAAAAATTTTACAAGCAATGAAATGCTCTAGAAATTTATCTTTAAAACATTAATGAGGGATTTTGGTACCAAATTATTTTATTTAAAATATTTACAGATCATCAATGTCTTAAGTTTTGTGCTAACGTTTTGAACTCGTTGCAAAGTTCATGTTGGGATCGTTAGTTACAAGTTCGAAGTTTGTAACTATATTGTTGTAGGTATTATGGACATCTTTGTTGGTAATAAGTAGGCAATGCACACTCTTATTTACACTTAAGCTTATTTGTTTGTAATATTACTAGTTTCAATACTAATATCGACGAATTCGTGAAAACCTCGCAATTTTGAACTTTGTAATTTCAAAAAATAATCTCGATGTAGTAAATATAAATACTTAAGACATTCTGTTTTATAGAATTTTCTTTTGCTATTTTTTCAAAAGTAAAAAATTAATTTATAAAAAAAGTATGCTTTTGTGAGGCTTACTTTTAATTTACATAATTATCGTTAAGTTAGTATAAATTTCTAGTGGTCAAATGTATACAAATAAAAATAGGAAGGGTGTTGACGTTGTGTAGTAAAAAACTGCGATGATGACACGTGCAGCGACCACGTTCCTTTTCACCAGTAAGTATTCTTCTATACCCCACTTTGCGCAGCAACCCTATTAGGCGTCGGTTATGTATTAAGCCAATAATATTCACGTTGAGTGCTAAAGCAGGATCCTGTTGAAAGATAACGGCTAATCTAAATTGCTGAGAATTACTTTACACACAGAAATTAAAAAGTATTATCAAATGGTCGTGTGCCGCTCAATCACTTTCTCATCATATCTGGTCACGTATAAAGAGTGCATGGGGTCAGATGTATATTCAGTTAGATTTTCTGTGTTACTTAAATTATTACAATAGTTAACGCTAATTTTATAAAGGCATTATATAATTGTTCGTCACTTGAAAAATTTAGAAGTTAATTGTTTTTATTATGAAAATTTAAATGCCATTTATTGTTAATAATAAATGACATCAATCATTCGAGTCCCCAAAAAGCTTTTATATCATAATCACCTTATTTTATATTAATTTAAAATGTGAAAATTATCTAGCATTTTATATTTTCATGGAGATTTTATAAAAACATATAAATATTTAAATTTTAATACTTGCGAAATACGACGCTTGATAAATTTGACGAATGATATTCATGTAATACTTTGGTATACAAAATCTACAAGGGAATTAATCCACCTTTCAATCCCTTTTGACTCGGTGATTTCAGCTCTTCGTTAATTCAATATAGTAGCTATTAGCTTATAATAACGCCAATGTATTGTTGGTACTTGGATAGTTACGATTATATGGCACGTGTTCAATTTACGACGCATGGAAGTGTTACTCGACGATATGCCAGATTTGCGGCAAGCTAAATTTACTTCATTGAACTTTTTTTTATCAAACAATAGATATAAAACAAATTTAAGTGCTGAGCACGTGCCAGAATGTAAACTAAATCGTAATTGATTATTCGTTATCTTTTAACAAAAAGGGAACCCTATTTCGTAAATAATAGGGTAGTAAAAATAAAAAGTCGTTATATATAATCGAATAATAACGTCAAACCCATGAATTTATTAAAGCTTTCATGCATTAATGTATTATTTAAAATATTTACAAATATATTCATGTTTTCAGTTTTGTAGTGAGTGACGTTTCGAACTCGTTACAGAATTCATCTTTGGAGTGATAGTTACAGATCCGAAGTTTTAATTATCGCCAAACATATTACACAAATGATATTACTTTTATTATAATTTTTGATATTTTAAACGTAAAATATCCTTAAATATTTTCGAGTTAGTTGGAATTATATTTTTTTCCCCAGGAAAATATCTAAAACAGTAGTTTCTAAATAATAACAGATAGCTTAACCTATGTAGACTAAAATAATACAAATTAATATTTTTGAAGCTTTTATTAAATAATCTAAATACAAAAGTATAAGTAAAATTAAATAACAATGCAGAACTGATAATTTATAACAATTTATCAAAATTAATTTTATAACAAATAACTAGCCTTCTTGATCACAGACAATTAAACATACGCCTAGGTAATAAATACGATTTCAGTCTTATTAATTAATAATAAATTAAAAGCAATAAAATAATATTTTTATAACTACATTTCGTATAGATATTATATTATTTGGATGCTAATTTATAATTCTTGAATAAATAAATGTTAACATAATTATGGCGTAGAAAACTATTAAAAATTAATAATATGTATAAGTATACTACAATATTATCCTAAAAAAAAAAAATGTATTTATTTATCAAATTTACACATGTTTTTAATTAATAAGAAGTATTATATGGCACATAATAAATTTATATTATAGTTTACAATATGTAATAAAATAATAGTATAACATGTATTATACTTCATTTAAGAAATTGTAATTTTATTAATATAATTTAAATTAAAAAGATGATTTTAATTTTTCACCATATATTCATAAAAACTACAAAATTTTTTTTTATTAATATTAACGGAAAATTAAATAAACCTAGATAAAATATTATCTAATAAAAAAATCGTCAATAATTTTTTTCATTTAAATGTTACTTTTACTGTATAAATGTGTCAAATTTTTTTATAAATCATTGCCAGTTTTTGGAAAACTTTTAGTAAAAATATAAATAATGTTAATAATTATTCTTTTAAAAATTAGTTATACGTATAACTGAACTATTTATACGGTTCCATGGTAACTTTTGGCAAAAAGTAATGCATGGTTAATTTTTTTTGTAAAAGAAATATTATTATAAACTGTTGCTTACAAAATGTTTTATGATTGTGTTTAATTATTTTATGTGCGTGATATTTATGAAAACAGAAAATAGGGGAATAGAAATAGACTACAGCATTATTAATGAAGAATTCTAATAATTAATCAAATATTTGGTCAAATAATAAGTTTCAATATTATAAACATTGTTGTATAATATATATAAAATGTACAAGAATATATAAAATATATTAAATTAAGGTACTTACATAACAAGTGTAACTACATAGCAAACAAAATTTTTAGGAATAATCAGAGTAAAAAGTAATTAATGGAAGGAAAATAAAACAAACATTATAGGTGCTGTAATCAAACAAATAGCATAAATCATTGATCTTGGCTGGCATGTTGATATAGCAATGAATTCTTCATTGGAATCACTTTTAGGTCCAGCCCTTAACATTTCTAACACTGTGGTTTGTTTCGACCAAAAGCTCAATGGCAGTTGACATTCGCCTGTAGTATTTAGACAAGATGCTAAAGATTGGGATACATCGTATACAGTTTTGTTTATTGCAAAATGAATGCGTATAAAATTATCTTGAATTTCATTTTCACTATTGAATACGAAGAAATAATATCCGTCTGATGGAATCCTAAAAATACAAATGTGAAATTATTGAGAAGTTATACAATTTCAATTTCTAAATTCAATTTACTTACAGTAAGTTATAATATATAATATAGAAATACAGGGTGATCAGTTTATCATAAATCATTCAATAATCTTAAAATAGATACAATATTGAAAAAAATATTTTGATTTCATATAATTGCATATATATACAGGATGATTTTTTTATCATAACCCACTCAATTACTTACAGAATAAATATATTTAAACATTTTTTTTTTTTGGTTATCTTCAGTTACACATTATTCTTGAATTACTAACTATGTAATACTTTTTAAGTTCATCCCTTATGCCTTGTAAGGGCGTTAACTTTGTTTTTTTAAATGGAAACACATATTAGCTTCGATGCGAAGCTGAGAAGGTATTGGTTTTACTATGATGTGTTTTTTTATTTTTTTTTTTTTTGTGTCTGTTACCACTTTTTCTCAGCTCTCACCGAACCGATTTCTTGCAATGATACGTCAAAAGATCACAAATCGTATCTAGTCGAAGACATTACCCTTAAAAATTGAAAAAAAATCCCTCGTTCCCCGTAAATGGGGGAAACCTCCAAAAATAATACAAATTTAAAAATCGCTAATTTTCAAACATTTTTCAATTTTTTTTACTAAAAACTGCCATAACTTTTTTAAAAATGAACATATCAATATAATTTTTTTTTATATAGATGCTTGATATCTTTACCTATCATTTGGTATATTTTTTTTTATATCTGATCCTTTAACTGCCCACAGGGGGGGATTTAAAATTACAACTTTTTCACAAAAAATTAATTTTTTTAACTTAACTTTTGAAAATGTTCCGGAAAGTCTGACACTTTAATATATATATTAAATTAAAGCTAATGTAATGTACTTTTTTTTTAAAAAAATTTTTGGACTTTATTTTGTCTTCACTGTGTGAATGGCTACCGAATGCTATTTTTGTGTGAAAATTCTCGATTTTATTTTTTACATTTTTAATTTTATTATGCTATAACTATTTGAAAAATGTATGGATCAATACAATTTTTTCATGAGAAGTAGTATTTATATACATCTTTCATTCGACATACTGTTTTTTTAAATCGGACCATTTCCCTATATTTGAGGGCGGTTCAAATCTAAATAATGCATGTAGAAAGTAGAACTTTTTCAACTTAACTTTTGAAAGTGTTTCGGAAAGTCTGACACTTTTATATATATCTTAAATTAAAGCTAATGTAATTTACTTTATTATGCAAAAAAAAAATTTCGAACTTTATTTTATCTTCACGGTGAAAATGGCTACCGAATGCTATTATTGTGTGAAAATTCTCGATTTTATTTTTTACATTTTTAACTTTATAATGCTATGACATATTGAAAAGTGTATGGATCAACATAATTTTTTTATGAGAAATAATATTTTTTAATATCCCTTTTTCATTCGACATACTTTATCTTAATTAGGATATTCATAATGAACTAGCAGATCATGTAGCTTTTGGAATAATCCACCCATTTTTTAAAATTAAACACTATCTAAAGATTTGCATCGAAGCGTTTTTTTTTATAGTAATTTTAATCGCTGTCAGATATCATAATACTTGATCCAACTATGCCACGTCACCACTGTGCCGCAACCCAGCTGTGCTGGGTTTTTTTTTAATTTAATAGTAAATGGCTTTTGAATTTTTAATATAAAGTTTCAAATTTTTGAGTTAATATACATGTATAATGCACAAGGTATTATAAATACATGTAACTAATTGGTTTTTTATGACATCAATATACGCATGCACACAGCATTGGTATTATCAATGGTAGTAAGGCACATTGTTGTGAGTTCATAAATACACCACTAACTGACTATATAAAAAGTATATCTATTGATAGTCATAATTGATAATAAACAATCCGTGACAGTGACAGCGATGTCATAAAAACTATTTAGCTACCTGTATTTGTAATCCCTTGTGTATTGTACATGTATATTAACTCAAAAATTTGAAACTTTAAATGTTTATATCTAATAAACGAATATAGTTATATTAAAATTTCAAATGCCATTTACTATTAAATTAAAAACTCAAACATTTTATTAAATTAAAAATATGTGTTTCTATTTAAAAAACAAAGGTAACGCCCTTACAAGGCATAAGGGATGAACTTAAAAAGTATTACATAGTTAATAATTCAAGAATAATGTGTAACTTAAGATAATCCAAAAAAAAAAATTTTTAAATATATTTATTCTGTAAATAATTGAGTGGGTTATGATAAAAAAATCACTCTGTATATTGAGTTATTAACTAATAATTACTTTTTTGAATCAATCCTTGTAACTTAAAGGGGTGATAACTTTAATTTTAAATATATACATATATATTTAATTAGCTTATAAAATAGAAAATAATGTAATAAAAAAATGGATATTTGATAACAACTTTTAGACCAGTACTTTGGAAGTTATTCTCATTTTTATACAGGGGGGACGAAGTGTACGGTCGGGAAATGTCTAGTGATAAATCTTTAAATCACCTACAGTAATTACTTTAACTTGTTAATAACTTCTGAAATTCTGGTCTAAAAGTTGTTATCGACCATTCATTTTCTTAATTAGATTATTTTCCATTTTATAAGCTAGTAATATGTATATATCTATTAAAAAAAAAAAAAAAGTTGACACTCCTTTAAGTTATAAGGGATGATTCTAAAAAATAATTATTAGTTGATAATTCGAGAAATATATGCAACTAAATGAAATAAATTTTTTTTTTCCAATACTGTATTTATTTTGCGATTAATCGACTGGTCTATGAAAACCGATCAGTCTGCATATATAACTATAATGTACTTGTAAAAAATGATACGTCGATCTAGACGTTAAAGCAAACAAAAAGAAATGATATTCCTACAAAACAAATTGTGAAAATAGTCCAAGTTCTAAAATACTCCTTCTCAAAAAAAAAAAAGTATGCCTATCATTGTAATAATATCTACATTGTACTCAAGTGTATTATTTCTTTAATTTATAAATTCAATTCACATATACTTCTATGAGCAACACGGCTTTTTTATTTGTATCTCTTAAGACTGAGTCAGTTTGTTGTTTAATACTAGCTTAATTTTACTTAGGTATTACGTGAGTGATACACGGGAAAAAACTCAGAAAAAAAAAAGATTACCTTCAAAGATTCATTGGACATTGCAACTAAGACTATTTTAGCACTCAACTAGCCAAAAACTGGCTAAGAATTAAAAGAATATTTTTTTTACAAATAAAAGAGTGTTCCTCATGAAAAGAACATGTGAAGTGAATTTATAAATTAAAGAAAGAACAGACTTGACCACAATGTAGATATTATTACAATGATAGGCATAATTTCTTTTTGAGAAGAGTATTCTAGAACTTTTTTACAGTTTTGTTTTTGTAGGGATTATATTTACGCAAAAGTTAGTCTCAAGATTAAATATAATAAGTAATAATAGCATTAATAAAATATTTAAAACATTAGAATATAATTTATTACATTAATACATTTTTAAGTACATACTTGTAAGTTACAGAGTTAGAATGGCTCGCTTCCTCATAATTGGGGTTTTTATTTGGAGGTAAACATTGAGAATGTGGAGCTAACGGGAGACTTAATAGCAAACCTTCACATTCTAACAGTTGTTCTTCGCTACTTGAGAATGAGGACCAAAATTCACTGTGACTACGATCTTTAACTAAACGAGTCCCATTTTCAGATACTTTTCCGCGAACATGAGCAATTCCGTCCGGAGATGGAGCATCAATCTAATGTAGAAAGACAACTTCAATGCTTAAAATTTATCATATCTTTATTCCACACTGTATTTCAATCATTTTAACTTATTGCGAGTGCAATACAACTATAATTTAGTAAGGATTTTATATCATTTTACTTCAAAGTGATAATATTATACAGGGTGTTCAGTAAGTCAGGAAACGGGTTTCTATTGTTCTCATTGTTTGTAACCCGTTTCCTGACTTACTGAACACCCTGTATAATTACTAAATATAACCACAACAAAAAAAAGGGTGAACTAATTGAGTAGACTAAAAAAACGTATTAGTAATTTAATTTGAATTACCTATTTTAAAATTGAAACTTTGTAACCTTGACAAAGCAATTAAATTCACCACGTTATATAGACCGTATAGTTAAGGTATAACATTTTTTCAATTGAAGTATAAGAAATAGTATTGTTATAGTCCCAGTAGGTAATTGAATGTGTTTCATGTTTTAAAACGAGTATGGCAAATTGGTCAGTTTCGCTATTACTGTAATGCAATTATGTACATCATTCAGGTTTATTCAGTGATTGTAAAACATTGTTAAAAATAACTGAAATGCTTGATTAAAGCATGAGCTATCTTGAAGTTACTAATTGAATACAAGCGTTTTACATTTAATTTAACATAAAAGCAGAAAAAACCCATAAAAGAAAATTGGATTTATGTTAGTTGGTCACTTCAAATCTGTTTTAATATCAGTTATTTAATTCAAAATAAGATTAACATAAAGTGAAAATCGTTTTTTTTAAACCAACTCATTATTGAATAATTTAAAACTCAATGAGAATCTCATATGTATATCGATAATGATTATCACAATTTAATCAATTTTATGTTTTTTATCATCACTATTAGAATTCAATGATGGTACCTTAAAACACTACAACTAGAAATAGTTTTGTGATAAATAAACCACTTAACCATTAAGTTTATTCATAAACCATTTATAATATGACAAATTAGTAGTTATTATCGTATAATAATTATTGATGAACAATAAATGGCACTAATTTACTGGAGATGCTTCAAATTTTGAATTTTCATTCTAAATTTTTGGAATAATGTTTAAATTTTAATTAGTTAGTGAAATATTCAGCTTTTATTTAAACTCACATTCTGAGTTAAGTACGATAATAATTATAATTAAATAATTATTATTGGTCTTGTATTATACATATACTAATTTTCAATTAAGTTTTATTTCCATTTCAGAATCTTAAATTTTAACGAGTGACATTAAAATCAAAATAGTTTAAAGTAAATATGCTGTATATTAAAAAAAATGCACCTACTTCTTCTGTGGCAGCATCGTTTTTCTTGTCGTGTGAAATGAGGTCTTCTTTTAATCGATGAGGTTCTTCTGCAGTCCTCCTAAATCTGTTACGAAAATGTCTTAATCTTGGTCCTCTCCATGATGTATTATCATCAGCTAAAGCACTTTCAATTATTTGATGTAACCTGTTAGACGTTTCAGTTGTGTTATTCAAGGAGCCATTTAGATTATTTTCAATGACTTCTTTAAGTTTTTGTAAAAGTATAGCTCCATCTTTACCTTGAGAGGCTAACTTCCTCAATGACTCTTCAATTAGTTCTTTTGATTGAGGTATATTTTTTATTTGCTCTCCATTAGAAATTATGGATTTATACTTTTTATTTTGAGTTACGTAGTCTTCATTTTCAATTCGTTCATTTAATTCTTTTTGGTATAAATCTTCTGCGTAACTTAAATGATGATTTACATTTTTAGCAACTTGCTTATAATATTTTAGGTGTCCATTATAATCAGTTGTATTGGCACTAATATAAACTACGTCAGGTGCCATATCTGGTACAGTCATTCCCGTAGTTAGTTTTCTCATAAAATTAGGAATATGAGTATCATTACTTTCTTCGGACGATTCAACCTCATCAAGTTCTTCACTAGAATTATCTCCTATGTATGCACATTCCCTTAAATGTTTATGGCCTTTAATGATTATAAGACTAGCTCCTGGCCACCTATTAAATAAAAATTGTATCATAATAATTTTCTTTAATACTTTTATTTTCTTTAAAAACTTATAATTAAATATTCTTATTAAGATCCTAAGTTATTATTAAAAAGTCCTTATTAATTATCCTAAGTCTTATTAAAAAATAAGACGTCCTATTTTATTTATTTTCTTTTGATATTAAACTGCAGACGTTGTAAACAATTATAATTAGTATACATATATACGTTGTACATACTATTATTACATTTATTTTATACAAATTTTTAATCGGGGATTTTCACTCAAATTATTGAATATTATCTTGATAACGGTTATTGAATTAATTCGAGTTTAAAGTTTTCGTTAAATTTTAGCTCCACTTTGTTTGTAATAAGTTTTTAAAATCCAGATCCGAATCAACCTACTTAACTTATGTAAGACCTTTTTTGTAGTTTATTACATCATTATTTTGAAAATAAATAGTCATTGTTATTCCTCAATTTTGATTATTCTTGTTTTTGGAATAACTTTAATGCCTAGTGAGCATGAGTCTGTAAAAGCATCTAAATATTTTACTAAATTCGTACCTCAGTCTACTTCAAGTAAAAGCCTTTTTCTAACAAGGCATATGTGTAAATCATAAGAATATTAATTTTATAATTTTTTTCAAATTTTCATAAAATATATTAACAGGTATAAATTAAACAAAACTTACCTAGAACATGTAGACACTTTTACTATTGAATCTTTTAGTAAATAAAATCCCCAATATTCTTTAATATCATCTTCTAATATTATATGTCTTTCCATTTCTACAAACTCTGTTTTGGTTGCAGTTGTTGGTTTTTCGGGCATCAAAAATGCATTGAACGTGGCATTAGTAGTAACAACTTGACGCTAAAAGTAATCATGTATAAATAATAAAAACCAAGCATTATATTTCGAATTTAGTTGAAGAGAGGCCAATGAGCACATTCTGGTGAAGACTGGAAGAGGATAGGCCCCTTACTCGTATTATATCAAAGTCCTCCTAAATATATATTCTTAAAGACAGGATAAATTATATTAGACCTACCTATTAGAGAACCCAAAGTAAATACACCTATTAACATTTATAATAATAGATATATTATTAATTCCTCCTAGGAAAAGGAGCGTAAGCGAATTTTTTAAATTTGATTGGAAAAAAACTGTTTATTTTTTTAATATTAATTGAATTACTATATAGTTACGTACAGAAAAATTATTATTCTTTTAACTATTCAATTTAGCATAATTAATTGAATATTAATTTTAAAAAATTGAACTATATATCATAAAATCCAGCACAGTGGGGTTACGGCATAGTGGAGACGTTGCATAGTTGGGTCCAGTATAGATTTAATCTGATAGTGATTAAAATCACTATCATAAGAAACGATTCGATACAAATCTGTAGATAGTATTTAATTCTAAGAAATTGATGGATAATTACAAAAGCAACATTAACCTTAATATTAAAATAGCATATTTTTTAATACGGTAACCATTTTCGCATAGAAGATAGGTCGTTGGGACAAATTTTTTTTTTTTATTTTATAGTACATAAAATAAGCTTTAATTTTATATATGTTTAAAGGATGCAGTATTTCCGGAAAACTTTCAAAAATTAAGTTGAAAAAGTTCTATTTTTTATACAATGTTTCAAGTTTTGAACGCCCCCTATATATGGGGAAATTGTCCAATTTTAATAAAAAGTATGTCAAATGAAAGATGTACTTATAATGTATTTAGAAAAAAAAAATTTGTGCTGATATTTACATTTTTCGAAAAGTTATAACATTTTTAAGTTGAAAATTTAAAATCGAAAATTTTAACACAAAAATAGCGTTTTTTAACTACAGCAGCCGTTTACATGCTGAAGATAAAGTGTCGGGACAAATTTTTTTTTTCATTTTATAGTACATAAAATAAGCTTTAATTTGATATATGTTTAAAGGACGCAGTATTTCCGGAACATTTTCAAAAATTAAGTTGAAAAATTTAGTTTTTGTAAAAAAGTTGCTATTTTAAATCCCCCCTGTGAGTAGGGTAAGTGTTAGATTTTCAAAAAAATGATATCAAATGAAAGGTAATGATATCATGCATCTATATAAAAAAAGAATATATTGATTCGGTTATTTTTAAAAATGTTATAGCAATTTTAAGTAAAAAAAAATTGAAAAAAATTCGAAAATTTACCGATTTTTAAATTTGTAATTTTTTTGGGTATTTCCCACATTTGCGGGTAACGAGGGAATTTTTTTCAATTTTTAAGGGTAATGTCTCCAACTAGATACGATTTTTAATCTTTTGACGTATTTTTGAAAGAAATCGGTCCAGTGAGAGCTGAGAAAAAGTGGCAACAGACATAAAAAAAAAAAAAAAACACATCATAGTAAAATTAATACCTTCTCAGCTTCGCATCGAAGCTAAAAATCAACTGAAAATAAAATTTGAAAATGTAACATAAATAAAATATTGTTTTCGCCAAATATTTTAAGGGCAGAAAAACCACTAAGTTTAATATTATGTTAAAGATTATTGAACATATCAATTCATCAGAAGTTTAGAAATATTTATACATCATTATTTCATTTTTACCTGAAGTTTTTAATTTTAAGTAACTTTTATTGTACATAATTATAAATTGTGTATTACTTATAAACATTAATTGTATTACATTTTTAAATATTAAATGCTCAAAAACATTTAACAGCTAGGTGCGTCGGAAATTAATGTCTCAATATTAGTTAAACCCTAGTAAAAACATAATCTTATCTTGTTATACAAAAAAATAAAAACTTACTTGACACCAAAATGTAGATATACGTTGATCAATAATCCTCATATCGGTAACTGCTAAAGGATATTTTTGGTCTGAATACACATGATATCGTATGTAAAGGGGAGCAATAACCAGTATACCAGGAATAATTAAACTTAAAATGCATAATCTTGCAGCTTTTAAAGGTCCTTTAAGATTATTAGGACTATCCTTTCTATTATATACACCACCTGAAATAAAATTATAATGATAATATATATAATAATACCCATTTTAGCTTCGCATCAAAACTGAGAGAGCATTTTTTTTTTAATTAATAGTATTCTTAAAAAATTGTTATCTAAAAAAAGTATTTTAGTAAATTATCATTTAATTTTAAGTTTTTAATTTACAAAAAATTTGATTAAAAATTAACTTTTTTAAATTGAGTTTCATTAATCTGAGAATTTCAAATTTACTTATGTGAAAAGAGGCAACTACACATTCGGTTAAATTCCCATAAACACGTCTCTTACATTATTTTTGTACTTAAATAATAAATAAAGTAAACATGTTTAGATAAATAATGTTTGAAAATTAAAAGTACTTTATTTTTACTTTAAAGCAATTAAAACACTTGTACAATCAATAACTTAACGATTATTATTTATTATGAGTATTACTTATCAAGTTTATTTTCAGAGAGACGTCAAAAAATAATTAACAATAATCGAATAAAATTAATATTGCTACATAATCAAAAAATATTCTCGTGTGCAAAAATGTAAAAATAACTTACAAGTATTATACATTTTTAATAGGATATATAATCCAATGTTGACATGTAAATATAATAATACCATCTAATGGACAACAAGGTCAGTCATTACTTATTTTAACCTTTGAAAGGACATTCCAATAAAGGCTGAATCATTGAACTTCATGTTTTTTTAAAAGTATTATAAAAAATTTTTTAAAAGTTAACGAGAAAGGAATAGTTATAATTACAATGAGTCTGTATTTATAAAGATAATTTATAAGCTTTACAAAAATGTTAATCTAGTAATAAATATAACGTTGTAATACATTTTAGGCGGGAGATGCGTAATTGAGATTACTCTTTAGTACTTTAAAAATAATATTTTTTTATTACCCTGTGCTAGTTTATAAGTTTAAATTAATAGCAGGTTCAAAAGTCTACCTAGGGTTTTGGGGTGTATAAGATTTCTTAAAGAACTCAATTCAGATCTAATAAGAATCTAATTGAATAATTTTACATTTTAGGAATTTTTATAAGCATTTGTATGTATATTTATATACATATTTCTTCTGTCAATGTGTAAGTAATTAAACTCCTTTTAAACGGCTGGATATATTCTTATGAATTTTTTTTTGAGCGATTAAATTGATTCTAGAAAAGTTTAGATTCATAATATAATTTAAATAAAATATATCTAATCTAGGAATCAACTTTATTGCGCATAAAATTAACAATTAAATAAATTACTAACACACAGACTACGAAATTCTAAAAGCCAAACTAATACACGGGAATCGTCGGTTCAAGACAGCTAGAAATATATAAATAATAAACGGGGAAAAAAAAATAAAAAATTTAAAAGGATAATCAATTTTTTCAAATTAAATGTAAATAGATATTTTTACATTTAAGTTTAAAAATCTAGTTATCGATTTAAATTAATTTATTTTCATTATGATAAAGCTAAAAATAATAATTGATTAACTTAGGTTATTTTACATTTTATTTTACATCGACATTTTTAAATGACGAAGGGAAAAATGAAAAAACAACAGTTGCTTTCCATGGGTTGTTTAATTTTTATAATATATTGAATCGTATTATTCTAAAATAATTACTTTAGTCATATATTAATCAAAGTATCTTAATCACAATTTTTTTATGTACTCAGAGATTTCGAAATTTTCTTAAGATCACTTAAAAAGACCGTTGTACCATTGATTTGATTAAATTGTGTTGTACTTGCAATTAATTTCATAGCTCAACTTGAGCATGGTATTTTTCTAACTATAGGCATTGATTTCAAAACTGTTAAAAATGTAATATTTATTTGTGCTTGTTAGGATGCTGCAGTTAGAAAATTAGTACGTATAAGATATTTTAAAAATAATATTGTAGTACATGTATATTCTGAGCGATTAATTTACAATTTTATTTCAATATAAATGTAAAATAGTTAACTTATTATTATGCATAATAGATTGTAAATATTTAAAAATATATATAGTTTTGTTAAACTATATGCAAAACAAAAAGATTATTTAAAAAAATGTATTAATTAAATTTTAGTTTTATCAATAAAACAAATTTCTATGTATGATCTTCAAAAATTAATAAAATTAACAATAATTCTATAATTAATTTAATTTTTTAATATTTTTTCATCTTATATTAACATTAACAAAAGATTATAATTTAAATGATTAAGGTCGATTTTACTTTACATATTAAGGTCATACTATGTTATCAATTTTTGTTATTTACTTGGTAAAATTACTTTATTTTTAATTAAAATATAGTAAGAGATTATTATGGTTATGTTTTATTTATTTGAATCATATAAAAAACAAAACAAATCTATACTATTATTATTACTCTTAATTCAATGAATTTGATTTTTATGTCAATTGGTTTTTATTTATTGAATACTTTTTATTTACGTCAGATATGATTTCTTTTTAACTTGACTCAACTTGACTTAAAATCATTAAGTTAGAAAATTAATTAAGATTATTAAAAATTTATTGTGTTCATAAATGATCAAAAAGTTGTATTCAAGTATATGTCATATAAAGAATTATTTTTTAACGAATGGTATTTTCATTACATATTATTTTTGGGTATTTTGAAAATGATTGGTTTGTTCAAATTCAAATTTAAATTTAAATTCTACAGTAGTTAATTAAAATAACATTTCATTTATAATTGTATATATTTGTGAACTTTATTCATTTTAAAATAATATCTACACCACTTGCACAAACTTTGCTTTTTGGAGATGTTTGAAATTTGTAATTACTAATAACTTAATACATTTTTTGTAGCAAAATAAATAAATAAATAATAATAAATCGTGTAAGCATATACTATTACATATTTTAAAAAGACGGCAAGGCTCTTTAACAATTACAATAAAAATTAGGCACTTTAAACGACTATTAGTAACTGAACTGAAAAATATTAACTGGTTCATATACTATTATTGTGAAATTATTTTCAGAAGTTTTCAATAATGCTTTAATTGTAAAAAAAAAAGTTTAGTGGAACTTTACCATTTAAATAGATAATGGTTATATGAGTCAGTAAATGTTTAGCGTTAATAATGGTAAGATTGTTTATGAAATACGGATCTATGATTTTTTAGTAATTTTTATGGCTTTTTAGATTAAATATTTTTAATATTTATTAGTTTTAAATTAATATTTTTTTATAATTTTAATTTTAAATAATATTAGCTTCATTATATAAAAATAACAGGTAGGTTAGTATTTTGCTGTAACCTGTAATATTTCTCTTCATACATTAGTTCAGCTTTAGGTACGATAAATTATTTAAAGAATAACTAGGGTATATGTCGCACTTAGAGGTATAGGTGTACAAGTAACATTCAGTAACCAACTTTACTAAGTCTACTCTCATTTAAAATTAAAGTAAGAGTTGTAAAATTTATCTTTACAAGTACACTTAATAAAATAAAAAAAAAAATTAAGTGATAACTTACCTCTTCTTTTTTTACATAAAATCATAATGAATAATGAAAAAATATATCAAAATTTATAAAAAATATCTTATGTATCAAAAAATTTTATAATTTTAATTTTTTATTTTCATATAAAACAGACTACAAAATGTTTTATGCGAAAAGAAATAGTATAAATTATAGAAATTATTAAAAAACGTATATATATATATATATAAACAAAAGCAAACTTCTCTTTTTAGATTCACGATACATACTGTAAAATGAAATAATGACACAAACTTATATTTTAATAGCTAATACATTAGGATGAGTACGCACTCTATTGGCGAAAATTGTTCCTACACTTAACAAAATAAAATTATCATTTTTTATTGAAATCTTTATACATGTATATTTTTTGTTTAAACAACTGTGGATATTTCGCACAAATATTGCTAAAATAAATAAGAAATTTATTATTATAGTCATGTTTTAAAACTGGCATTAATACGATTAAAATAAATAATTCATTCGTTAGAAATGTAATATTAGTTGCATTAAATACATTAAATGCGTGTTAAAATTTAAACCTAAGTACTCTAATTAATTAGCTTAAGCTTATTAATAGAAGTTTTCGCAAAATACTTTATGAAAATAAACATAATAACATTATTTTTGTTTTGTATCTTTTGTTGTGTAAATATATAACTTAACAATTATGCCAACTTAAAACATTGTGCATGACTATTACTACAACAAATAATACAATAGAAAAAAATTACAACAATTTTCAAAAATTCTTAGAAATGTCATAATAATATCTATAAATTAAATTTATATCGTTAAATTACAAAGTCTGCACTAAGACAGATTGAATTATAACTATATTTTGAGGATTAGTAGGGGTGAGAGAGAAAGTATACAGAGTGATTGAAATCTGGTAAGACACTCATTTTCTCAGAAAATATTGAGAATTTAAAATTTTATTATAGAGAAAAAATATGAATTTAAAAAAACTCTACAATAATATGTAGTCAAACCATTATTTTTTTCGTCCCTTCAAGGATAAAAACCCTTATTTATAATTTTCTTAAAAAAAATTTTTTTTAACTTCATATTATTGTAGAGTTTTATAAATGTAATAATTTTTCTTTTTACAAAAATTTTAAATTCTCAATAGTTTCTGAGAAAATAAGTGTCTTACCAGATTTCGATCATCCTGTATATGTCATGTCGAAAAAAAATGTAATTAACAAGGTTGTATTAATGGATAGGCAGGGACAATTAATAAGGTAAGTAAGAGAAAATAAATAAGAGAAGTAACCGACCATCACTTTTTTATGAAATGTGAAAAAATGAGAAGATTTGAGAGAAAGTAGGGAAGCGTGGGTTGGAAGAGATTATGGTCAAATCTGAGATATCAATACATAGTGATGGCCTTACTGTAAATATTAAGATTATGAGACAATAGTTATGAAGGAATGCTTGGAGTCAAGGATCTATATCATATGGCAATGGTAAGACATACCATTTTAATTGCGAATTACTTTCAAAGTGTTTGTGAAAATTACTCAAAAAATCATTGAAAGGAATAAGACAAGTTATAGAAGATAAATCATTTGAAGTGGCAAGGAGGTCGGTAGTTTCATATCCTACAAAGTCACATGACTGGGGCTTTGACATTGAAAATTATGTTCAGAAAAAATTACAATATTTGTTAACATAAAATAGAGTATTAAAGCGACTTATAGAAGAAATTGCACTGAAATAGAATAAAGTTTAAATAGCTTCTTTGAAGAAGGTCGTGATAAGAAGAGCGAGAAAAATATTGCAGGAAAGAGAAGTAAACATAAGAATGCGACGAGTGAAAAGAGAAAAATTAAAGTTGCAAAAGAGAGGAGGCATAGAAAAGGAATTATTGTGGTATGTTATTATGAAGACGAGAAATAAGTAAAGGTGTAAGTACATAGTCAAAAGCTCCTTTAGTATCTATAAAGATTTTTTTTTAGATGCATTGTAAATTGGACTAGTTAAATTAAAGAGGCTATTCATAGTGCGAAGACCTTTACGTAGAAACAAATAGATTGTTAGAGGAGAAAAAAAAACTAATACAGACGGTTTTTAATAATATGACGAAAGGCAGGAAATAACAATTTGGGTATAAGAATGAGTATGGCAATATTTATTAGACGTACCTCTCGCCAGAGTATAAAAATGTTAATAATTTTCGAAATACTGGTCCAAACTTGTTATTAACCAATAATTTACTTAATTAGTCATTTTTATTTTATAAATTAGTTAAATATTTATATTGTCATTTAAAAAAATAAAGTTAGAAAGTATAAGGGGTAAAAAAAAATTAATTAACTAGTGATAAATATTATTAATTTTCTTTGGTTGTTTTAGTATCACCCAGATATAATATGTATGTTACTTTGTATTAAGCCAAGGTCCATTTTGAAACGTCATTGAAAAAATAATTTTATAAAATTAATAAAGTCTAATCAATTTTCATGCTTTTTAAAACATTATGTTTGTTGTATGTATAGACTTTTAATAAAATATCTTAATTAAGTAAAAAAATATAATAATAAATGATTAATTTTAACAATCATGATTTAAATACTTAAATACAAACTAAATTTTCTTATGACACTGAAACTAATTATTTCAATACGGTCGATGGTACTTGATAGAAGATAATTCAGATTTGTAAATGAATCTCGTTTAGTTATTATACTTACAGTCACGGTATAAGTACTCATTGAATAGTAAGTTATGCGTTATTAATAGACGAACGAAAGCTGAATACTACTAATTTCCTTGATGTCTAATTTTGTATTTTATGATGTATTCAATTTCTAGTTTATAAGTTAATACATGACTGAAAAATGTAATAATAAATGTTTAAATACTCACTAACAAAAGTGTCATCAGAGCAAATAGTAATTTGACTGCTCGTGTAACGTGCCATATTCGATGATTGTTAAATCCAACTAATTATAAATATAGGTACCAGAAATTGTCATAAACGTGTTAGGCGTTTGTCGTAATTTACTGTAATGATAATAATAATGCTATGTTTTAGTTATTTGTTTGCCAAGTATAAGATAACATTAATGTAGATATCATTATAAACTATGTATTTGTTGAATTTCATGTAATGTAGTTAAAGAGAACAAAAGAAAAATTTTCTATCAAATTGAATACATTATGAAAATTTTAAACTATTAATTACGTTTATCAATACGTCAAACGTATCTTCAAACAATTTTTTAATTTATCAAGATAATATAAATTTTTATTATTATTTATTTATTCATCACCACCAGTGTTAATAAACATGTATAGAAATAATTTTTAAGGTAACTTAATATATCTCAAGATGATCTTAAAACTCACCAAAACTTTTGATTATTTATGACTTTCATATTCAAAACATATAAGCAAAGGCTTATGGAATATAATTAGATGTATTCTTTTTTACTATTTTTAGAAATGCACAAATAACAAAGCTTAAACATTGACGTAAATGGCATGAAGCCTGTAAAGGCTAATATTTTCACTAATACATTCATAGGTCTATAAAAAATTAATTTTAGGAAGTAGACGTGGAAAATATAGTAACGTGGTGGAGAAGCTCTCCGCCTATTAGACTTAAGAAATAAAGTAAGAACCTTACAGCGCTTACAGACAATTTTTTCTTATTTTTGGAGCAATTTTAAATAAATGTAAATTATTTTTTTTAATTAAAAAAACATTGTCATCCTTATTATACTTAATAATTATAATAATCAAAGAAATAGAAAAAAAATTTAATTCAAACAAGGTTATTAATTAAATTGTGTCATATTTCAAAATGAATGGTTAATTAGAGTCAATTATTTATTTTTTGAAGTACAAGTTTAAAATGATAATAAAATTGGGACAACTTTTATTTTAGTTTATATGAAAAACAGCAATATCAGAAAATGTAGTACTAGGGAGAGTTGTACCTTAGAATAATATGAAATTTTTAGAAAAGTTTTTTTTGAAATTTAACTATTTAATAATTGATTTGTATGTTATTCTGTTTTTTAATTGTGTACAATAATACTTTATCCATAATTTAAAAAAATTTCAAGTTATTTAAACGTATACCCATGTGATAATAAAACAAACACAAAAATATATTCATTAATAGGCGATTTCTTACTTTAATAGTGAATTTTTCGTATTCTAAATAGGTTGTTTATGAAGCTTCTACGAATAAGTCATATATAATTTAGCGCGACATGTATTGATGCAATCAAGGTGCTGTAGAAAGGAACGTTAACGAGACAACTAAACTAAAAGCTTTGGATACGTTTTTTACTAATACTAATGTGACTTTATTACAATAAAAACTCATACGTTTTTAGATAAACTATATTTTTAGTTATTTTTTAGTTTGCATTTATAAGTACCACATATGATTAATAAAAATAAGTGTAACTATAATGCTTCTTTGAAAGCCTAACCATGATTATACTTATAGTAACAGATGTGATAAAAGCTAACATATAGAAATGTGATATCCCAAATTAGAGTGTCATTTCATTCATCTTACAATTTTTAATTTAAACTTTATAAAATGTATTACTATACTAAATGTATTTATATGACAAACTCTTAGTTTACCTTGTTCAATTAAGAACATTAGCATATTTTTGAAATGTTTATTTAAAATGCTCATAGCGTATAAATATATATTGCCATAAAGTAGAATATTATTTTAAATAGTATTATCTATTATATTTTATTAAATTAAAGGGAAGCCTTTTGCGAAGAAAACCTTTCGTACACTATTGTCCAAGTGAATTGATTAATGAACCCATAAAATTAAATGCTTAAATGATCTATAGATTTTTGAATGGATAGTATCAAAATATTCAGTCCATACTCCAATAACGTGGTTGTTACTTAATTGATGTCATGAAGAAAAATCGTTTGCAAAGGAGTAATATTTTACAGAAAACAAATTTCAAGTCACTTTTTCATTGATATGAAAAATAATTTTTCATACTATTGCAAAATCATACTTGGCGAACTATATTTTAGTATATTTTCAACTGAATTAAAAGTATATTTTAAAATGAAAAAATTAATTCGTAGTATTTGATGATTCTATCAAACTAAAATTTAATTCAGGGAATTAACAATAAATATTTGAATTATGAATACACTAAAGTAACTTGTAGATGTGGATATTCGTATCAGTACTTTTTAGTATATTTTTGTTATTATTTTTCAAAAGTTAATATAGCACTTTTTAACTATTTTTAAAAAAAGCAAACACAAATTAAAAAACCCAGCACAGGGAGGTCGCGGCACAGGGTCACGTGGCATAGATGGATCAAGTATAATGATATCTGACAGTGATTAAAATCACTATAAAAAATATATTTATTCTGTAAGTAATTGAGTGGGTTATGATAAAAAAATCGCCCTGTATATATATGCAATTATATGAAATCAAAATTTTTTTTTCAATATTGTATCTATTTTAAGATTATTGAATGATTTATGATAAACTGATCATCCTGTATTTCTATATTATATATTATAACTTACTGTAAGTAACAACAATGTACCTTACTACCATTGATAATACCAATGCTGTGTACATGCGTATATTGATGTCATAAAAAACCAATTAGTTACATGTATTTATAATACCTTGTGCATTATACATGTATATTAACTCAAAAATTTGAAACTTTATATTAAAAATTCAAAAAAAAACCAGCACAGCTGGGTTGCGGCACAGTGGTGACGTGGCATAGTTGGATCAAGTATTATGATATCTGACAGCGATTAAAATCACTATAAAAAAAAACGCTTCGATGCAAATCTTTAGATAGTGTTTAATTTTAAAAAATGGGTGGATTATTCCAAAAGCTACATGATCTGCTAGTTCATTATGAATATCCTAATTAAGATAAAGTATGTCGAATGAAAAAGGGATATTAAAAAATATTATTTCTCATAAAAAAATTATGTTGATCCATACACTTTTCAATATGTCATAGCATTATAAAGTTAAAAATGTAAAAAATAAAATCGAGAATTTTCACACAATAATAGCATTCGGTAGCCATTTTCACCGTGAAGATAAAATAAAGTTCGAAATTTTTTTTTTGCATAATAAAGTAAATTACATTAGCTTTAATTTAAGATATATATAAAAGTGTCAGACTTTCCGAAACACTTTCAAAAGTTAAGTTGAAAAAGTTCTACTTTCTACATGCATTATTTAGATTTGAACCGCCCTCAAATATAGGGAAATGGTCCGATTTAAAAAAACAGTATGTCGAATGAAAGATGTATATAAATACTACTTCTCATGAAAAAATTGTATTGATCCATACATTTTTCAAATAGTTATAGCATAATAAAATTAAAAATGTAAAAAATAAAATCGAGAATTTTCACACAAAAATAGCATTCGGTAGCCATTCACACAGTGAAGACAAAATAAAGTCCAAAAATTTTTTTAAAAAAAAAGTACATTACATTAGCTTTAATTTAATATATATATTAAAGTGTCAGACTTTCCGGAACATTTTCAAAAGTCAAGTTGAAAAAATTAATTTTTTGTGAAAAAGTTGTAATTTTAAATCCCCCCCTGTGGGCAGTTAAAGGATCAGATATAAAAAAAAATATACCAAATGATAGGTAAAGATATCAAGCATCTATATAAAAAAAAATTATATTGATATGTTCATTTTTAAAAAAGTTATGGCAGTTTTTAGTAAAAAAAATTGAAAAATGTTTGAAAATTAGCGATTTTTAAATTTGTATTATTTTTGGAGGTTTCCCCCATTTACGGGGAACGAGGGATTTTTTTTCAATTTTTGAGGGTAATGTCTTCGACTAGATACGATTTGTGATCTTTTGACGTATCATTGAAAGATATCGGTTCGGTGAGAGCTGAGAAAAAGTGGTAACAGACACAAAAAAAAAAAAAAATAAAAAAACACATCATAGTAAAACCAATACCTTCTCAGCTTCGCATCGAAGCTAAAATGTCAATAGTATCTTATGGGAATTGGTATTTTTAAAGTGTAAAAAACAAACGTTTTAGAAAAAAATTGACTCGTTATTTTTTAGTGCATGACAGATAACATCCTACTTTACACAAACTACATGGCTGTCACTAGAAATACATTTTAAAATAAATGCAATAGGGACTAAAAATTCATAAAATCAAATCACACTTAATTTAATAGTTGCAATTGGGGTAGAACAGAAAGTGTCAAAAATACTAATATACAGATACTATACTTCAAAATAAAATATTACAATTTAATTTAGGAAATATTAAATCCGATAACATAGGAATATTTATATTGCCTTTACCTTTTGTTTGAAACTAAAGCTCAATATACACTTAATAATGAATAAGTATAATATATATTATAACGTAGTAGCTTTCTTATAGTATTTAGAAAAATAGCTTAAAAATATTAAAAAATAAATACAAATTAGTAACACATGAAATTGAATTTTATGATGTAGTCAAGTAATTAAATAGTACAAAAAAAAATTATTTAGAACTTTGAAAATGTAATATAAGACCCTGTACAAATGATACTTAGCTAACATGACAACGCTGACAGTGTCAAATTAAAATTTTATAATAAAATAAAATAGAATATTATTTAAAAAATGTCATTTTTAAGTTTTTACAAACTGAATTGAACCATACATCATAGTTGGTCTCACTACAGTCTTATATTACTTACCTTTCATCTTTATTGGAATTCTCCTATCTCATAACACACCAGACGCTTTTCTCCATTTCATTCCTGATACAAGAGCAATCATACATATTCTATATTAATATATTTAAAAGCTTATTCATAATAATTGAGAAGTCGCCATTAAATATCAAAAAAATATTAATTATGACGGATTATTCCCTAAAAATTATCAATAGGATTTTTTTTTGTGTACTTTAATAAATTATTATATTTGATAAATTTTTATAATCAAATAATATAGATATCAATTTATTGGAATATTTAGTTTTACAAAATAATTTACTATTCAAATTTATATTCATACAGTGTTTTGAATAATTAATGCATAATTTTAAAGTATATGTTAACCCCTAAAAATTTTCTTCAAAAACGTTCATTTAAATGTGTCCTAATAATATATAGCATTCTGTGAATAAATTTAAATAAAGTGATAAGTTTTATAAAATGTTAAATAGCATATAAAATTATTATATATTTTTATAGAGTAATAATAATAATTAGTATTACCCTTTAAAATATATTCTATAGGTTGATAAACAATAGTACAAAATAATAAAACAACAAATTTAAATAATATATGTATTAATTGTTATTTTGAATAATTCAATAATGTAAGTTAAAAATATATGTGTTAAGTGTCACATATTCTAATTTTAATATCTATGTTTAAAATATTTTATTAAATAAATAATTTTTTAAATCGTACAATCATTAAAATATATACATATTTTATCACAATATTTTTAAATTTTTTTTTTTTTATCATGTTCATTTTTTAATATTTTTTTACTATTTTCTCGCTTTCTTTTGTTAAGTGCACTTCTTGGATCATATATCTCAAACCAATCATCATCTTTTTTATTAGCATCTTTAGCTAGTACTGCATTATTTTCTTCACAATTAAGTGTATGGCCTAACCTGTGAAATCAGTAAATTCATCTTAATAATGAACACAAATTTTCATTTATTTAATATATATAAAAAAAAAATTTACCAATCTTCATCTTTGTCGTTCATTTTGTTAAAATCTTCTTTTTTGTTAATAGAATTTTTGACATTATGTAATTTATCTTTAAATTGCTTTAAAAGGTTGAGAGTTAAATCTTCTCTATTTAAACCTACAAATAATTAATTTAAAATCAAATGAACTATTAAAATTCCAATTTTTGGATATTTTAATCATTTATATTAATAAAATTTACCTTTTTTAGATAATTCTTCTTTTTTTGATGAATATAGTTTTATGTTATCTAAGTACTCTTTTTTAATAGGATCAATAGGTTGTTGAGGCTCATCATTATTTTCAACCTCCTTTTCCTCCTTTTTTTTTTTCTTTTCTTCTTTTTTTTTTTTTGCTAATTGATTTTTAATCTCTTTAATTTCTTGTTGTATTTCTTCACTGAAACAAGATAAAAGAGAGAGAATAAATTATTTAAAAAAAATTTTTTAAATATTTAATTTCATTTATTTAAAAATGAAAAATGAAAATTATTAAATTTCATGAGTCATTAAAAAAAAAAAAGACACTGTTAAACAATTTTTTTTAACTTTGAAAATGTAATATATTAGATTAAATGGTATCATTAACTTAAATGTAAGCTTTATAATAGACAATTATAATAATAGTTAGAAAAATTTCTTAACAGCTTTATATTTCTTATAATACTTAATATGTGAAAGTAAAAATATTTTAATTTTATAAACTAAATTTTGATCTGTAATTATTGATACTTGCAATTTTTTTTTTTTTTCTTCATTTAGCTCTTTTCCAAACTCATAACCATCAGAATCATCATCATTATTAGACAATTTCACAACTTTTGGTAATTTTTTTTTTGAATTATTTGATAATTTATTCCGTATATCATTAATATTTATACTGAAAAAAATTCAGATTTATTAACTAATCATCTTAAGCCTAGATAAATGCCCAGTTTAAGAATTATTTTAAGACTCTGTCAAAGTAAAATCTATCCAAAATTAAAAAATATAAGTTATCTAAACTGTTTAATGTTAATATGTTCTATTAAGAAGTTTAACTTAAAAAAAGACTTTAAAGTGTCTTTATTAAGTTTTACTAATATAATATATTTATATATATATATATATAGTGATTCATTTGTCATGAATTAATCTAATATAACTTAATTAATCAAAAAGTAAAAATAATTTTGACGTAATTTTTAGGAATATATATTTTAATTTATCAATCATTAAGTATTTTTTATGCTCAACCTTTATACCTTATAAGGACGTCAACTTTAATTTTTCAAATGATAATACATATATAACTTAGATTATTTATTAGATAGAGATATAATTAAAAATTATAATAAGATTAATAACTTTTGGACTAATAATTCAGAAGTAATTAATATTTTTATACCTCAGGCGGAGGAGTGAGGCTAAGAAATATCTAGTGATTAAAAAAGCACTATCACCAGTCATTACTTCATATTGTAGATAACATATATCTTATAAAATATAAAGAATACATATAAAAATTACTTCATGATTAAAAACTTGATAGAAATATGGAATTAAAAGAAACCAANCTTTATATTTCTTATAATACTTAATATGTGAAAGTAAAAATATTTTAATTTTATAAACTAAATTTTGATCTGTAATTATTGATACTTGCAATTTTTTTTTTTTTTCTTCATTTAGCTCTTTTCCAAACTCATAACCATCAGAATCATCATCATTATTAGACAATTTCACAACTTTTGGTAATTTTTTTTTTGAATTATTTGATAATTTATTCCGTATATCATTAATATTTATACTGAAAAAAATTCAGATTTATTAACTAATCATCTTAAGCCTAGATAAATGCCCAGTTTAAGAATTATTTTAAGACTCTGTCAAAGTAAAATCTATCCAAAATTAAAAAATATAAGTTATCTAAACTGTTTAATGTTAATATGTTCTATTAAGAAGTTTAACTTAAAAAAAGACTTTAAAGTGTCTTTATTAAGTTTTACTAATATAATATATTTATATATATATATATATAGTGATTCATTTGTCATGAATTAATCTAATATAACTTAATTAATCAAAAAGTAAAAATAATTTTGACGTAATTTTTAGGAATATATATTTTAATTTATCAATCATTAAGTATTTTTTATGCTCAACCTTTATACCTTATAAGGACGTCAACTTTAATTTTTCAAATGATAATACATATATAACTTAGATTATTTATTAGATAGAGATATAATTAAAAATTATAATAAGATTAATAACTTTTGGACTAATAATTCAGAAGTAATTAATATTTTTATACCTCAGGCGGAGGAGTGAGGCTAAGAAATATCTAGTGATTAAAAAAGCACTATCACCAGTCATTACTTCATATTGTAGATAACATATATCTTATAAAATATAAAGAATACATATAAAAATTACTTCATGATTAAAAACTTGATAGAAATATGGAATTAAAAGAAACCAAACAAAAAATTCTCAATACTAATTTTATTAGCTTCGATGCGAAGCTGAGAAGGTATTGGTTTTACTATGATGTGTTTTTTTTTTTTTTTTTTTTTTTTTTTTTTTTTTTTTTTTTTTCTT